GTACGTTAAGCGCAATGCAGCAGAAAGCCTTTGTAGGAACGTATAGAAAAGTACTGTTTTGGAGTTAAGCATTGAGACACATCGATCAGAGAAAACGAGAAGCACTCACTTGTGTCCAAAGATACTTGGAACGTGTTTGACTGCCCGACAAACCTCACGCAAGCGGTCAATGCGATCCATCTCGGGAGAGAGCGCTGCAAACGGGATGCTTTGCTTATCCGCCAGGTCTTCAATCATTAGTAGAGCCTCGTGAAATTGAAAATACGTCGCAAGTCTCAGTTGGTCTTCTGAGTCTCCCTTGCATGCAAACACTAGTGGATCACAGGGTCCATCGACAGTACCAGGCGCCAAGTGATACCACGAGCGGAGATCGTCAACTAGACGGAGGATTGACAGAGTGTCAAGCGGGGAGGCTGCGTCCAAGGATTGCCGTTTGATTCGACCACATAGTTTAGCATATTGAACCATTGTGCACAATTGGTCGACATGCTTGGGCATAGTGCAGGATGAATGCTCCTGGTTAGCCACTTCGGGAATCTCGTACGAGATTATGGTCTCCGGTAATAGCTGAGGACGCAAACCATAGTGTAAGCCGGTGCTTCTTACAAAGCTCGGGTCATCCCAGAAAGCTCCAACAGGGCTAAGGCAGATGACGCGGGGTTTCGTGAACTTACGGGAAATGTCTTCCATCTCATTGCACTCGTCATGTCAATGTAGAAGAGCATCCACGACGCGCGTTTTACTGCATCAACGTGACTCGGTTCTGTGGTGATGTTTGAGATGCCTGACTCGGTGAACAGGTGTAGTGACTGCAGGGTGCTGACGGCAATAGCTAGGATTGTAGGTAGAACTTGCAAGTGAGCCGTGTGCGCCAAGTGTGCCTATATTGGACTCAACGTTAGCGAACTAGGCTCTAATGTAGGGTAAATAATATATCTTAGGCTTGTGTGCTGGTGACTACGTGAGCAATATCACTTTCGTGCATGGAGGGTTGAGAGCCGCCCACCAGGGCCCTATGAGCATTCTCCTACACGAGTGGAAAGCAGTATAGCATACTAACCAATGTTACAAGCACCTAACATGGATCTGTTAGATATGCGCCCGAAACACATGCATAGACCGATATGGTGATTGTTCACATACCAAGAACTTGAAGATGTCCTCCCTTTCTCTCATTACTGTCTCGTACAATTCAAAGACAGAGACCGCCAACTCGGATGCTTGTCGCTGCTTGCCAGAAAATGAACGGTGAGTAGGCCATATCGTGAGAGCTCGCGCAAGTAAATACTGGTTGCGACAATGTATATCTGCGAATTCAATCGGGTTTGTAAGATTTAGTATTTCTACAGATAAATGCCTTGGCAGAAAAAGCGTGGGGCTAAACATTTCCGGTCAGCTTAAGTGGAAATAGTAATTAATTAGCCTAGGCTGGGAGGCTTGCACTGGGAAAGGGAAGGAAAAAGAAGAAACCATCTTCGATTTCCAAAAGGTTGAAATCGATTACACTTACCCTCCTGGCTCTGCTAAACAAGCTTTTTCATCATCAGTATGCTTAGCTTTAATATCGCGATTACGAGTTTGGACTTACCATTTATACTTTCCTTGGCATCAACATGAGAAGCATCGAGCTTTTTTGTAGCCGGTTCCCGCTGGCCTTTTGCAAAGGTCTGGTGGGCACGGGCGAGAAGCCTATCCGCAATCCGCTCTGCTCTCTGCCGAGTGCCGGCGTGGTTTTGAGACGGCGGCTTCGGGGAGCTTGAAACTTGGGTCTCGGAGGATGAAGAGGTGCTTGTAGTGCTTGCCACGGTCGCAGCGGAATGAGATCCGGCTTCAGACCTAGACGTGGTGCTGCCCTCCAATGTTGATGGAGCGGGGTTGTATTCAGCGCGATCGTTCAGTGTTGCCTGATCTCGAGACACTTCTTTCGGCGTGGATGCGGTATCCATTCTTGTTGGAGTAAATGGAGTCAAAGATGCGCAGTGGGTTTTAGGAAGGCCCTGAAAAGCATCGCCGAGAAAGATTGTGTCTTGCGAAAGGGATCAGCTCCACAAACACAGAAAAGTAACCCGGCATGAGAACGAGCAGCTCACCAAGATCATCATCCAGGAAAAGGTCTGCTGTGTTCATGTCGCCGTCAAGGCTTTCCAAGTCGATTGCAAAGGCGCCGTCCAACAAGATGCCCGGCGAGAAAGAGTGAAGCTCGGCCAAGTCCGATGGAGAGCTCGCGGCTCTGGGTTGATGGTATTGCAGGCCCGAGCTAGCGGAGACGTCGCTGGCGAGGTCGTAGTCGCTGGATGCAATGGGGGGCGTCAACAATCTGCTCGGGGGCAAGAATGCTCTCGCTGCTCGCATGTGTGCCCAGCGGCGAGACGTTGGCAATGCAAGCTTGCTAGCCCCTTGGATCATGCAGTTGTGATCTGGCAGGGTCGAGGAAGATCGGTCGATGGGGGGGGTAGTTGCAGGCAACGCCATGTTTCTAATGACCGAGATTAGCTACTGAGGATCATGTTGCAACGAGAATTGGTGCCGTTTACATCGCATTGCCGACAAGGACGCTCGCCGTTGCCTGTTCCATCGTAGCAGATAAGGCCTCTGGTCAGCTCTTCCAATTCACAACTTTATGATTTATCGGTCGTGGATGGAAATGGTGCAGTGATGTACATTTGATCTTCTTTTGGCGGCAATACTGGCATGCGCCACGCCGCCGCGTATATCGACGTCGTTCACCTTCGGCAGAGTGGGCAGGCATGACTGTGGGTGAATCGGAGGAATCAAGAAGCGCCGGGCCTGACTGGTCTTCGCCGTCTGATCGATCCCGGTACATAACAAATCACAGCCAACACTAGAAGTAAAAGAAGCAACCTTTCAAGAAAATACTTCCCGCGCAGCGTTTGAGTTGCCTTTAAACTTAATAAGACCAGCGCGAGAAGACTTGTACGACTTTATGTTATACCAGTCTTTCGGGATATCAAGCAACAGGCCCGAGTCAAGTCACACTAGTCATGTGGGTGTAACGGCGAAGGCTGCAGCTTGAACCGGAGGTGCTCACAGCACACCCCGATCGGCGACTATACACTCAACAATACCTCCTGTTAGAGTTCGATGAGCTAGTCAGCTGAGGTTGTATTATATTAGACTTTGAAGCCGGAGGCCAAACATGGAACTTTTCTGGAGCTTACTATCTCTAATCCTGAAAGTCAATAGTGACACCAAATTCACCGCTGAAACTTGGATTGATCGACTAGGCAAGATCCCACTGGGTACAGGAAAGATGGCAAAAACCTCCCACTTGTTCTCTTATCCACTTTCATCCCCGCAATCCAGCCAGTAATACACTACGAGATGTGGCTTAACCCGAGGTTTCCTACCTGCTCTGCCAAAATCCAAACATCGCCCTATGTGACGATGGATATTGCTGGCCCATCTAGCACAACCGAAACACCAAACGAGATAGGGATACTAGGAATTCAAACTCGTCATCGGACAGATGTAATGGCTCTGTAAAGTCTTTAATGAAATTCCCCTTCCTTGACATATCCCATCGAGTGCGGCAAGTCGTCAAAAAAAAAAACCTTATGCGGGGTGAAGCCCATTACATGTTTTGTTCGGGATTTCAGAGAAAGAAATAACCAATTGGATACCTATAAGTTGTCATTTTTGGAGAAAAGATAGCGACTCAAGTGAACATGGGGGTTGACATCTTGCCGTACTCGATAGGATAGCCCGCAGTCGATGAGGTGAGCTTCTTCCAACCTCACAATGACAGTACGTATGAGATGGTATTTCACAAAAATGCTACCCGTGGACTGTCGTGCGACTCGAAGCGACAGAACCTGGCGCAGATGGCGAGGCCTCGTGGCCTAGTAAATGACAATGGCACTGGAGCAGATGCATTGAGACGACCGCGGACGACGTAAACCCTAGGGTGAATGTGTCATTTATATGGATATTTCAAAGTAACAAGAATGTTTCGGCAGGGAATTTGCCTGGCATTCTCCGCGACTTGGCGAAGGAATGTTATCTTGCCGCACCCGGTGGGATGCTATTGAGTGTGCAGCATAGAGCTGGGACTTGAGTCTGGGGACGTTTCGAGGCAAAGGCTGTATGCACTAGCCAACAGGTCGAATTGGGTAGAGTATAATTGGGTGTAGTGTATAGTCGCCGGTAGTGTTTATGGGTCGGATGGATCATCCTTGTTGTTGCCGTTACTGATTACTATTGTCTATTGCTAGCATCCTGACTTGCAGCTTCATTGACTAGTAGGGGATCAGACGCACGTGATTCAACGTTCTAGACGGGCTGTACCGGTGCGGCGGTGCATCACCCTTCGCCTTGCTTACATCGGACTCCGCCCCCACTGCCGCCACGCTCAACTCCTGGGGGGGGGCTACAGGATGTATCCCGAGACCATGACGTCAGAGCTTTCGTGTCCCGCTCCGTTTTCACGATCGACGGCATCCGCTTTGTCGCTATGGCGATTGAGTTCAAGGAGTGCACAGTGTGCCGCCATTGTATGTGATTGACGACGCCATCCCATCACCACCCAGTTCAGCCAGAGGACTTCGCCGGCTTACCAATCACGCGCCCTCAAGAAAAGTCCACCGGTTTGGTAGGGTATAGAAGCAGTAAAACCGGCGGGTTTTCTTGAGGGCGCGTGCCAATGCCCTACCGCCACAGCTCGCGGTCACCATATGTTGACCTCGAATCAATGCTACGGGCCGTCACAGCAAGCAATGGGCTTGCTTCTTTATGTATCAACTTGTGGGAAATCACAACAGCAAATGCAACATCCAGAATTTTCATCATAAGAAGGCCTTATCAATTTCCTTTCAAGTATGCACAGAATAGACAATACAATTACCAAAAATCGGCCGTTTCCGTCGAGAATTGTCGTAACTCGGCTCCATCCGAGATGTCAAAATCATACATGATACGCTGTCATGATGCATATAACCCCCCAATGCAACGCTATGCTACTTTGCAGTCTACGCTTCTCCTTTTTACTTCCGGCCTCGCGGCACCGTACTCTCTGCAAACCGGATACCTCTCCTCGTGGGCGGTACTCTCTCCCCGCCTTCGTCGTCGGAGTCGTCTCCACCGTCGTTGGCGTTCATGCCCAGTGCAGCCTCCCTACGACGTCTCTCGGCGGGGGTCTCGCCTGATTCCACATCCTCGTCGCTCTGGTTTGAAAGGACGGCCAGCCTGCGCTGTCTCTCAATGGCCGTCTCCTCATCGTCGGCGCCCTTCTCTTGTGACGCTCTCGGAGCGGGTTGCGCCGGGCTGGAGTTCACTCGCTGTGGGGTGTAAGACCCGGATCGCTTCTCGGCCGAGTCGCTGCCGATTTTGATGGTGGGTATGTTCGCCTGTCGCTCAACCGGAGAAGGGACGTCTCCTTTTGCGATTGACTTGACACGTTGGGATGCGGTCGATTGGTCCACGACCTGTCGTCGGGTTTTGTCGTCGAGCTTCTGCACTTCCCGGATGAAATCCTCCTTGGTCATCCTCTGGCCAACTCCGCCAATCGTGAAGCGGATGTGCCGGTCATCGTCTTGCCCTCCGTCGGCCGCGTTCTTCTTCGGCTTCTGCGCAGCACCGGCGGTGCCACCAAGGTAGCGTTGCCAGCCCGACTTGCCCGGTGCCTTGGCAGCGCCTTCGGCGCTGGATTCCGCTTGAGCTTCGTCTTCGACCACAGGCTTCTCGGATGCCTTCAACAGACCGCCCATGCCGAGGTACTTGAGGCTTTGCTGTGTGCGGCCTCCATGTTCCTTTCCAGCCTTGGCCGACGGCAGCTCGTAGGTCTTGATGACCTCACCATCTTCGTCTTCAACAATGATCTGCGAAGCCGGTTAGCAAGTGATGGTCGCAAAATGCAATGTTTAACTTACTGTGTTGCCAAACTGGAATGCTCGAGCGGGCTCGTGCCGCCTGCCAGTCTTGCTCTTCTCCTTACGTTTCTCCACTTCCGAGCTGTAAACGTCTTCGACTTTGCGCTTGAAGGAATCGAGGGTCCAGTTGAACTTTTCGCCTTGCCTCGACTTGGTGGGCGTCATTGCACTCAAGTCGGCTTCAACAGGTACGCGATGATGTGCTTCCGCATCCGCCACCGCCTCTGCCTTGCTTGGAGAACGCTCAACAGTCAACACATCACCATCCTCATTCTCAACAACCAGATTGTCTCCCTCCTCGTAGATTTGGATCTTGGATGCGGAGTTGGTTCGGCTGGAGCCTTCGTCAGGAGAGGGGGTGATCTCATCGTCGTCCTTTTCGGGATCTCTCGAGCGGCCCCTGTCAGAATCGCGCCTGGGCGGCGTAGTGCCTTCGCCATCAGGGGAGGCGGGGTCCTTTTCGTTGAGAAGAGGCTCGCGTCTAGTAGGGAAGATGGCAGACTGAGAGACGGGTCCACCCGGGCCGATGCCGTCGTCCCACTTGTTGTTCTTCTTCCGCCGACTGCGCGATGTCGACCGAGTACGAGATTTCGAGCCATCCTCGTCTTTTTGACGGCGCAGGAAAGCGCCTGGGAAACCCACGGGGGGCAAAGTCCCGGGCGGAAACTCGGGCATCTTCAACTCTTCCCCATCGGTATCGGACATGGTTCGAGCTTGCGAGCGAGACTGCGACGAGATTCTCGGCAAGCGGTTCATCCAGGTGGGGCCGTCCTCGGGTGCGGTGGTGTAGGACATGGTGATTGTCAAGGTGTTGATGCGCTTTCCGAGGGTGAAGACGGCCACCGACGAGCCGTGGACAATGATGGATGAAATGACGAGGAACGTGACGATTGGCCAGATGACAGCGACGAGGGTTCTGTGCTCGATTTCTTCGGGAGGGATATCGGAAAGCGGCACGGCCGTCTCCCACTGCAGCTCAGCGCGAGCCAAGACGGCAACGAAGATGGCGCCGACACCGATGGGACCGAAGTGGCCGGCGAAGACAGCTTCGCGCCATGTCTTGATGTCGGGTATGAAGGGCTTCAGCATGAGCATGGCGGGAATGCGGCGGAACAGAATGACGAAAATGGCGATGACAACCAAACGCCAGGGGGTGATGCCCTCAGCGACATTGTTGTACTGCTCCCATGGGATGATGGTTCCCAGAAACACAAAGTAGGCCAGGTTGATGAGGAGATCGATAACGTTGGAGACGTGGGACTCTTCGGTCCTGGAGGCGAACCAACCGTCGTTTGAGAAACCCACACCGGCAGCAAAGCCAACAAGCAAGTCGTCCATGCCGAGCAAACTACCGGCACCGGCGCAAAACAGAGCGAGAACGAAGTAGAAGACCAAGAAACTCTCTCGATCAATCAGATCGTGCTCCTCTGCGTACTTGATACCGTGGCGTGCGATGTAGCCAACAACGAAACCGAAGATGGCGCCAAAGATACACTCATAGAGAATCGTGTAGACAATCCAGTGAAAGGTGGTGGACTTGGCATCCATGTGCTCCTGGATCAGGTAGATTCCGAGATAGACGAAGGGGAAGGCCATGCCATCGTTGCAGCCGGACTCGGCCGACAGCAGGTCTCGCAAGTGCTTGGGGACTCGTTTAGCGAACTTGCCCTTACCGACGACGGAAGAGGCCAGGACGGGATCGGTGGCGGTGACGCAGGCCGCGATGACTAAACTCTCAAGCCAAGACAACGGATCAATCAGCCACCAGATGAACAAGCTCACGACAAGCCAGCCAATGGTCATGACGGGAATCAGCAGCAGGGTGACGGATCTCCAGTGCTTCTCCATGTAGAACTTGGGCAATTCTACACCGACGGCGAAACATTGTACAACAAGAACGATGCGGGAGAACTCGATGGTGACGAGGTCGACGTTGCCCCAACTTTTCGGGTCAATCAGGTTCGCGGCGTGAGGGCCGAAGATGATGCCACAGATGGTAGCGACTGTGGCCTCGCCAATGTACATGCGCTCCTTGATAATGGAGGAGCAGAGCATAAAAAGGGTTGTGAAGCCGCCCAAGATGATGTACACCAAGTGCGGCTTCGTGATGGAGAGATGGTCCCACGCCATGGCGGCGCACTTGGGGAGGGTATCTCTACGTGTGGTGGTGGTGGTGGTGGTGGTTGCGAAGCGTGCTCGTCAAGGGTGCGCCTCGTGAAATGCCGCGGATTCGAAAGCTCAACCGCCGGCAGCAAAAGGAATATCGGCTGGGCCTGGCGAAGGGCTCGAAACTCCCCAGTCAATGGATTGCGTCCCGAGAGCGAGGGTGTCTCGATGCATTCAGGAAAAAGTCGGCGTGCCAAGAGGCAGTTGGGCCTAGCTAAGGTCGGATCGGAGCGAGAACGAAGGACGAGATGCGGATACGAAAGTGTATGAGGTCACCGGCGGGTGTTGCCTCTGGGTGCGTATTCGGAGGGTTGTGCGCCTCGTCGGTTGGGGGATTCGCGATTCGTCTCGAGAGGATCGCGACAATGAGGGACTGGGTGGTATCTCGACAGTCGCTGGTCTTTATCGGCGGACCAGGAGAGTTTACATGAACCAAAAAAGAGCGACAGAAACTAGGCAAAGCTTCGGGGTTCATGGAACCTAAGTATGTCGCAGGGAAAAAGACGGCCAAGATGTTGGCGTACTGATAGCAGAGGATGATCCATGCGAAAAAAAAAAGCCTGGCCCCGCCTAGCGCAAGCGGGTGGGGGGCTTTGCAGTGCGCCTGGGGTGGATGGGAGTCGTCTGTCCGGGTCTAGGACGGGGGGCCACGGAAAGAGAGAGGGCGAATGAGTTTTCTGCTCTTTCCCAGTGGTTTCCAGCGCTTCTTGGCTCCTCCGCCCGCCCGCCCATCGCCCATGGGAGGCGCAGGGCTTGCTGACGCGGTACCTCGGGAGTACCGAAGGGCTACCATGGCCTATACTGCCATGATACATATGGCCGTGACCTCGCCTTGCCGCATGCCAGTTTCTTATTTCAGTCGAACTGTGCCGATGCTCTTCTCTGCTCGTCATGGCCATTGCTGCTCCAGCCAACGATACGACGAATCCGGACACTCACTACGATGGGATAAGGCTGCTGCGACATCTCTGTCCCCCTTGGGTTGGGCTCGCCGGGCAGGGTTGATGAGCACGCTACCTGTACACCACTACCGCCCAAGTCTGTTTGTCTGATTTTGTAGTTTACGTGGGCGTGCGCACCCTGCGATCGAGCCATGCTTGATTGTGCTAGTCTTATCCCAACTTCCCGAGCACGCGTCCTCGATTACGATGATTAGGGAGCACGTCGTGTGAGACAAGCCGCCCGGAGCCACGTTCCAATGCAACGGGGCCAATAAACTCTTTCTCGGTGTGGTTTGGTTTACCCCCAATGGCCCTGGCTCTACCGGCATTTCTTGGCCGAGGGGAATGCACCACGCATTTTAGATTGCAGCGCGGAGACGTTAAGGAGCTGGCAGGCTTCATGGACACGGACACGAGGGAGAGAGACTGACAGAGCCCAACACCGGGGGTCTTTGGGAGCGCTGCCGGGCTCGGTTGCGGACGGTGAGCGCCCATGTCTGCCAAGCGGCTCAAAACAAGGATGGACCCCCATCTGGCCGACTTGCTGCCATGACTGGCCGCGTGGTGTCGTAATCCCTCGCGAGGCGGTAATCTCTCGTGCCACGCAGGAAAAAAGTCGTATACTGCGTAGACAGGGTTGAGCCGACTTGAGCTGAAGCGCGGCGGGCAGAGTCGGCCATCACTCACTTGAGCCTCTCCCTCGTCCTCGTCGGCGGATGCATCATTGTCGGCGTCGCTGATTGATAGTGACCCCTCCCATCCACCACACGTCGTTGGAAACCCCGGATTTCAGATCGGCTCGACACGTTGGTTCCCCCTAAATGCCATGAAATATCTGTAGGGGTCCATCCAACTCTTGGTGAGTCCTGCAGAAAAAAAGTCTTGTCGAGCCGTTGGCAAAAGCTTGACCGGCGTGTTTTTGGCGCATTCCTGACGGCTCTGGGCGGCCTTGTGCGACTCGGTTGGGTCTTTCCAAGCATTGGCGGGCCTGGTTTGTGTGCTTGTGTGCAACTGTGTGTCGTAGCGTCGCTGGCCAAGCCATTTCGCGAGATCGCCAACTCCATTTGCAGGCTCGGCGCCCAGAGACGAGCGGCGTCACCGCCCACTTTTCCGACGGCCGATGGCGAGGTCGACTTCGAGTCATGCCATGACGACTGTCATGTTGGCATCAGACGGGGCAGTTGCATTTTTCAGTCGATGGCTTCTCCTCAGAACGGGACGGAAAGGGGGGCGAAGAGAAGGAAACGTGTTTGGCGGACGTTGAGTTGTCGACCTTGGGTGAGAAATTTCTCGAAGAGTCCCGCAGCATGGCGACAGCAGTGACAGTCAGATGTCGTTTGTATGGCATGAGACATCGGACCAAATGAAAGGCGAGGAAGGACCCCGAGGTCCCTCCCCTTCCGATATCTTCGCGAAAGGGGAGGGGTACCATAGTAGGTAGGCACTGAGGAAGGCACTGAGGTAGGTATTAAGGGAGGTGGAAGCTGCCCGGGCACCATCGAGATACTTCCACGGTACTTCCGCACAGATCCCACCACGAGTGCTTCAGCCCACCATCATTCCCACCAGAAGAACTGTCGAGTGCGGGTAACAAAGCAAGACCCTGGTCTTGCAGTGTTTTTTTTTTCTTCTTTTTCTTCGTCCTTCTTTTCCTTTTGTTTCCTGCTTCCCCTGCACAGCACAGCTACCCTGCCCGCCCAGAAGCTGGATGCCATTGTTTGTTGTTTGTTGATGCGCTTTCTCTTTGCGACATCGCCTATATTCAAAGCAGCCCAAATCCTCCGCTGCAGGCTCCAGCTCTGGACTCTCAACACTTGGCGGCGCTATATACCGTAAATAACAATTGCAATCAACATGAACACCGGCGGTTGCCGGGATACCTCAACAAATGAATGCACACCAACAAATGGAGTGAAACACCGCCCTCTCGGCGCCGCCAGGGCTGTCCCAGAGTGTCTTGCACACAATTGATTGTTCGCCCCGGGCTCGCCATTTCTTCCCTCATGTTCCGAGCGACCTTCGTCGGTTTCCCCACGGTCTTTCTCTCGGTTCCTGTCTCTGCCATCGCTTTCCGCCCTCTTCCGCTCTCCCGCCAGACCGTGGGTCACACACACACTCCCGTCTCAATCCTCTGCGAACATGCCTCCTTGGGGTTTTCGTCTCTTCCTCTTTTAGCTCCAACCCGTCTCAGCATGAGATGGCCCTCACCTTGCAGCGTTTGATCCGAACATGCCGTCCTCGCCCCCTTCTGCTGGCGATCGAGCGAGCACGAGAGACTCCCGAGAAGCATGCGCCAACACCCAATATCATCGAACAATCGGTCTGCAGACACACACCCACCCACCCGCACGCGTCGCGGCCATCCTCCGCAAAACCCAGCCTACCTTTCTTCGTTACTGAACTTCCCTGCCGCGACCCCTCCCCCCTTTCCCCCCAAGACCATTCACAAGCGTCGCTACGTCACTATATCCCTCAGACTTCATTCGTCCGCGACGTAATGGCGCCAAGAGCCTAACTCAACGACCGCTCACGATCAACTCGTCACGCTGCATGCTATACTAAGCGACGGCCGAATTGCATCCTCAAGGATGCCAATCTTTCCCCCGTAAGCTCACCCGCCCCAGTTCCCCACTGCTAGTCAATTTGTATAGTACATACAGGTATGCACCGTCGCACCGCTCCATTACTGTATTGCCGCTAGCTTTCAAGAACCCCAGACAACCCTCTCGCGTTGCGGATGCGGACGGAATCTTCCATCCTGCATAGGTCGCGCTTCATCGTCTGCACTCAACCACCTTCTCTGTTCGGACAGCCTGGATACTGTGTCTGCAGCCAAAGAACGGTGACCGTTGCAAGCGCAACAACGCTCGATGCTGACGCAACACGAGTCGACGAGCTGTTTCCACTCATCCTGCTGCAACAGGGGACGAGCCCTCATTTTACGTTTTGATGTTTGCTCCGTCTTGCAACAGCCGTCGCTCGGGTGTGTCACCATGACTGGTCCCCCACAAGTCGACAAGTCAAGTCTCGGCACATCGGAGCGTTTGGGTCATTACTCTGCCATGCATGGCCCGCGGCCAATCCAGCCATTGATCGCGAGTTGCCGTCGAACGTCTCGACCAATCATTCGCGGCACAGAAAACGCCAAAGACTGAACGTATCAACTCGCCCGCACATCGTTGAACATCCACTTTGGCTCTCGGAGCATCATTGGGGTCTTTTCCAGTTTCAATTACCCGCCCGCGTCCGTTATCATCGGACCGAAAGTGGGCCGCCGTATCGGCAAATGGACCCGCGGAGACCCGGAAATCTCATCTAGCCCTCACCCCCACCTTCAGTCCACAATACCAATGATTTCGCCTCATAATCCCATCTGCGCGCCAACTCGGCCAGCTCAGTATGAGCCGCGATGTCTCATCACAAGCGCCGATGGTTTAGTGGTAAAATTCTCCGTTGCCATCAAGCAGCGTCGGGGAGCCGGGGGTTCGATTCCCCCTCGGCGCACGCACAACTTTTGCTTTGAGCCTCCATGAGGGGGGCTGCGTGTGCAGTTTGGTCCCATGTCTTGCTTGCTAAATCCGATCTCTTTTCTGGACTGAGTTGTCCATCTAAATGACTCTATGGAAGCTCTGGTGTGAGGTGACTATTCCCCTTCAAGGCGTGTTTTCATCTCACTACCCATGACTGCCTGAGGTCCTGGTCGGAGTGAATCGTGGGAATGTGTCCGTGACTTTTTAAACATAGAAGCTAAAACATATAGCCTGTCTGCTTTGCGAGAAAGGGTTTGGATGAGTTAAGCTGAGTAACATTACTGACTTGGACTACGGTAATGTTCCCAGTCATGGCCAGGTCCTCTTTTTTACTACTTGATGATGAAACAAGGTAAACCGCATTTCTCACTAAACCAATCGTATTCCGAGTGAAGCCTGCGCCAGAGTCACTGGCACTCAGGTCTTCGTCACCGGATCCTTGGAATAAATGAGTCCAATGTGCTGGTCAAAAAAAAAGTGAACTGAAGTGATGAAATCACTTAAATACAGCCCCTATATCTCGGCTGGAAAAGATCTCACTTGCCATCAGATAACACCACAGAGAGAACTCGGCATTTTGCAACGATATAAGACAACTCGTACACACAAAACAAACAATGAAAACCGCTAACATGACCAGACACCACTATCACCAAGACGAGAGCTCCTATGACCGTTCCCCCAGCCAGGACAGCCAGCTCAGCATCGGCCCCGACGACACCGCCGACGAGGAACACACCGCTTGGACCGCGACGCGGCCGGCCTTCGAGGCATGGGCGGACGACCGGATGCGCCGCCGGTGCCGCTGGCGATGCTGTCGCTGCAGGTACGTCAATCGGATGCCTCGGTCTCGGCTGACCGTGATGCACTGCCGCAACCCCGGGCTGGCCGTCGAAGGCGAGAACTGCCCGCGGGATAGGGCGGGGGAGACGCACGCAGGGCCCGGGGAGTGTTGTACCATTCTCGTGCCGCAGGGGATGGAATCCACGTCGGATGGTGAGTGGTTGGATTAAAGGATCCGGACATATCAGTTGGGAAGGTAGAGCGTAGCCCAGTCACTATAGTTTAGTCAACTCCAGTGTTTCTCTCGTGTGTATTCACCATAGGTGGTTGCGTGAGCTTGGACTGGACGCGAAGGCGGTGATTCCAGGATGATGCTAGGCGTCAAATGCCGGACTTGGTAATTTAGCGGTTCCCGGTCGCAGAGATTGCCTGAACTACCTAGCTCCCCTTGAAAATGAATGATCGATAGACGAAAGCCATTGAGATGCCGGTATCTCTTGCATGGCACCTTCGGGCTTCGCGTGCCGAGATCGTCAGGCTCGAGCAGCCTTTGCGGGGTAGATTTGACTTCATTTTGTGCGTAAGTCGTAGGTGGGTCGCTTTGCGTTGGCAGTTTGGTCGAAGGTCTTCTACATTCGTTCGTTTATTGCGAAGAGAAGAGTGGGCGTGAGGTTTTCATATCTGCGAACCCTCGTTGGCGCCGAAAAGCAAGGAGGCGACTTGTCTGCTTGCCAGCTTAGTTGACTGAGTGACCTTCTAATGTTGTGACCGTGTATTGGCTGTGACCAAACTCAGGTTGACGACTGAGAGCCATTCATGTTTCATTAGCTCTACGAGTTTAAGAGACAGTGCCTTTTACTGATATGGAAATAGCAAAGTGTATAGCGCTGTAGTCTGAGGTGTAACTGCCGATTACACATATTAGCATGGTAACAAAAGCAACTTGACGAAACGTTAGGACGCCAACTAGCAATTAATTAGATATGTGAGGAAGATGTGACAACGCGTTAGTTGCACTTAAAGCTCAAAACCTAGACGAAAGGAATCACGTCGAAAGGTGGATATATCGAAACGTTTGACTGGTTGGATTAGTCTTGTTGCTGTCTACTTGCTGGCATCTGGTTCCCAGTATAACTGTGCCGCGGGGTCCAGATGCGCATAACATGGAAAGTGACCCATGCGGCCGGCCATACTAGTCCCAGCTATGTCTCTAGAATTGCAGGCGACTGTACCCACTTTGGCCGGTAGGCTGATACCCATCGTCTTGATCATATATTCTTGGCTCATAAGCAGGTTGTGAGAGGTTGTCTAAGAACAAGCAGTCAGCAGCGAGATTCAAGTATGCCCAGCCCAACGAGACATATATACAGTCCGTGATAAAGAATTGGATTGGCGGCTTTTTTCAGAAGCCCGAGCCCCGCACAATGACCAATTCTCATTGGCACACTTGGCTGAACATAGCTAACATGGTTACGTCCCCAAGGATTCAATGCAGTCAGCAGTGAAACTCAACCACAAATAAGCCTGGTACATTTCTATATAACCGGGAAACTTGGACGGACGGAACTCTTTTCAAGCCCGAGTCCCATACAATCTTCCATTCCTATTGGCTTCCTTGATCGAACATAGTTACTTTCACGCGTTGGGGGTTCTCTCCCTCCCTAAAGCGACCCAAAAGCGACCCAATAGTCGGTGGATGTTAGTCTTACAAAGTGTTTGCGTTACCTTATAATGTGTGGCACAGTTTGATCCTTCAAACTGCCAAGTCCTATAGACCATAGGATCCTATCTACATGTAGAGTTCAAAGGCCAGACTATCTTCGGAGTAACCTTGTTAGATAGAGGAAAAGGAGAAGTATAAGAGATGCGTCTTCCTCCTTGATATAATGAAATATCTTCCCACATCAAACATATCAGCTACTTCATTACCCCAAGACTCAATCTGCCATTAAAAGATAGGTAAACTGTAGCCTAAAGAAGCTCTTCCATTATGATGATCAGGCCTCTAACTACGATTCTCAAGTTACATCCGATTTACGAACAAGATGAAGTTCGCTACCGTTCTCTCTCTGTTTGCCGTCGCCATCGCTGCTGCTCCGTTCTCGAACGACGCGCCTCTCAAGTCTCGTACGATTAGTTCCGAAAACGAACTTCTCGCTCGTCAGTTCAACAGCTGCACGCTATGCGTTGGGGGCCGCCAAACGTGCTGTAACGGGCCTTTGGCACCGTGCTGGCCCAGGAATTGCCGTGCGGACGGTTCTGATAGCGATGGGGTCGCTCGCTAGCCGGATTACTTTCCTTAGTGGCCTCCGGGGGTGGCCAAAAACTTGTTTGCCCGGAAATCCTCCAAGTTCGGAAACTTGAAGTGCACCCTTTGGGTGTACTAGTGAGTCCTTGAGCTATTGGCCACTGAGCTTTGCAATGTCTGCGCTTATGTTATTATTATGTGTCAGACCTAACTCAGCACATTCCTTACAGCAATGATCACGTTATGTATAACAGATATCGTAGTCTCACAGGAGCACCGCGAAGTTTGTCAAGGTCATGTTCACATCAGGGGGATCATCCATTCATTTTCGATAGACGAATCCATCCACAGGTGCTCATACAGCACACTCATTAACCCATCCAATTAGCCATAAAATTATATCCACTTGCTGGTAATGTTAACTGCGGCTTAAACATCGGTGGATTCGGCCGATGAAATCATGTTGCATATCAAAGAAAATGTAAAATCCAATTTCATGGATTTCCACTTTGCCTGACTTTGAGACTTGAATAAGGTGTCTTTTGGTATAGAGCGTCGTATTAGGTCTCCAACATTGTGTGTTCTACCAACGGGTAGCTTGATTTGATACATGTTGAACGGTACTGGTAGTATTGGTGATCAGAGCATGCAGCGATCGTTCGCATGTATCGGGGCAAGATGTGTAGTGCACCAGGGAAGAATGACTAAGCGTCATCTTATGAGAGTGCATCACGAATTAAATTGCAGAAACGCTATGGGGAAGTACGCTTGAACCGTGGCTCAGGCACATTTAATGCGACTGTTCTTGGATGGTTAGGTTGCGTTTTCTTAAGCATTCCTTCCTTCTCAAAATCCAGATTTGCTGCTGTGTTTTTCAGGTGCGGTCACCACTCTATATTGTGAGGTCACACGATTGGGGCGAGCCTCGGTGAACAGGATCTGCAGTAAGATGGTATTAAACGGCGTTTTTTGGTGCTAACTTTATGCATGGGTACTTGGCATTACGTTGTAAAAGATTAGCGGTGACTTTGATTAGTTGGGAGCAATCCTATCTACTGAGCCATCTCTGGGGGTTTCTGCTTCAGGATGTGCCTGGAATTTTGTGTTGTCTCATTCCCCTTTCGTATCTCCCCCAGTGTCTGGACATTGATCCCGATGTGTCCTGCTGGGATGCTGCAGGACCTTGAGCTTGAACCCCACACGGATTTCTTCGCCGTATATAGTCAAGACGCAATCGGTCGCTGGCACTGGCTGGCCAGGCCCGTTAGGCAGTTGATATGCGCAGTTGGGGACGGGATGTGCTCGATGAACACGGTCCGCGCCGTTTTGCCGGTTTCAGGAATGATGACTTTTCAGCCGCACCTGGGCCAAGACAATAACAGACCGGGTACTTTTAGCAATTAGTATTCCAGGCTTCGATTCTGCTCGGTCATGCCCGGCTGAGCTCAATCGTTGCTCACAACACGATAAATTCAAACGGGAAGTCTTTTTCTTTCTTCTGTTATCAACGTTCTTTTGGGGAACTAATAGCTTTTACTGCGGCCCTCACTCCAATTAAGCCTGTTTGCATAGGAACGCATTCTTGGACCTGCCCACTGAAAAGACTCTCGAAGATGTGGTCTTATTTCTCCGCCGTTTTCGGCACTTGGAGCAGTTTTCAAGGCCCGAGACTCATTCTTCAGTAGATTAATCCGCTTGAGATGCAATCACTTGTCTTCACACTCGTCTCCTTGGCTTGAACTAAAATATGGGAACTCGGCAGTGATTAAACTGATCGAGAAACATTAGTCCAAATGCTCTGCTGTCTCCTCCGCTTGATAAATATCAATCCAAGGGCCCACGTCTCATTACCATTAACAACTGCAAGCCATCTTTATCAAGTGAGAGCATCATTGAAGCAGCCGCGATGGCTGAAGACCAGAATCTATCTACTGGAGACTCAAACAATTCCACTAAAAACTCGAAGCCGCCCATAACTCCTCCTTATGTCGGTTGCTCTCATGTGTATCGCGATGATCCGAAGGATATCGATTTTGCGAACAGAAAAAGGCTGATCATTTGCTGCGACGGGACATGGAATAACTCGTACGCTTCCTATCCATTCGAGTCGTTGTTTCCTATCGGTAATCAAGCCACTCTGATAACAGCCTCCTTAGGACCAACGGCGGGGGCTTAGTGCCTACCAACGTCAGCCGCATCTCCGCTGCAATCGCTCACAAGTGCTGCACTGGTATGCCACAGGTTGTCTACTATCATCGCGGTGCTGGTACAGAAGAATCAAAGGTCGCCAGCTTTATGGGAGGTTTGCTGGGTCTGGGAGTCAAACAGGTATTAGCCATTACCATGCTATACACGAGAACCTGAGGCTGACTTGGCTCGAGGATATCGTTGACTGCTACCGCTTCATTTGCGATAATTACAATCTTGGTGACGAAATCATCATTATAGGTTTCTCCCGAGGTGCTTTCACCGCCCGTTCCATTGCATCCATGGTTTGCACCCTCGGATTTCTTAACCGCACCGGCCTTGGCTACCTCAGCCAGATTTATAAGGATTACCAGTCGTTCACCGAGTGGACTGACAATGGGAAGTTTAATAATAAGAGGCACCTCCTGGGATTCAATGTTGAGCAGCTCAAAATGACTCGCGAGAAAAGCTTCACGGCCAAGATTATTGAGATCGAAAAGCAACTGGAGAATGAACACAACCTCACTGAAGATGAGGTATGGCATCTTGATCAGGAGCTTGTCAAAATTTTGAAAAACCGTGATGACGCTCTGAGCCAAGAGAATTTGGAAATGGGACTCGAAGAGGACAAGAAAAGGGTGTTCGAAAATATGAAGAAAGAAGATGGTACTATGGCAATTCCCAGAATGGCCAAGGCCTATCGCGAGCAGCTCCAGAAGGTAATTGCTGTTTCGAATAAAGTCTTTGTGTCTGTAGCTGACGGAACAGTATCAATTGTGCATGGTTCAAAAGGTTCAAAAAGGAGAGCTTCCAGACTCTATGGAGCCCAAGGTTGTAGAGGGCGGAGTCAAGGCAAACGGTGAGGATTTATCTGACTCTACGAAATACATGGCTGTAGAGGGCAGAGTCAAGGCAATCGGTAAATATTCCTTCTTTGAAATGAAATCATTGTAGTACAGCTAACTGACACGACTTTCCGGCCAGGCGTCTGGGATACAGTGGGAAGCCTTGGTATTCCAAAAATGCCATGGGACCTCTGGAAAGGCCGCCGTAGTGTCGATGAGGTAAGACGTTGGCCCCTAAACCCACAGGAACCAGCCAAAGAGTGAAACATTTCTGACAGTATATCTGTTGCCTAGCTGAGGTTTACAAGCCTTAACATCCATCCCAACGTCGAGCACGCCTTCCACGGTCTGGCTCTGGATGAATGGCGAACAGCCTTCGCTCCTACGCTGTGGAGACGCAAGGAACACAACAATGTGACCAAACTTCGCCAGGTGTGGTTTCCTGGTTGTCACAGCAATGTTGGAGGAGGGTCAAACTCCCAGCAGATTTCGAAGATTGCACTTGCATGTAAGTTAAACCATCTATGCTGGTCTGAGTAACTGTGTTAACGACAAATTCGCTAGGGATGGCAGATCAACTAAGCTCTGTTGGCGTAGAGTTTAGCAAGACTGAAATGAAGCGCATCTTCAGTACTCTCTCCCATGGTGACGAATTACGTCCTTGGGGCTTAGGTAAAATCACCAGTCCGGAAAGTCTTGCTACGACGCTCCCCGACCGAGTGTGGAGCACTCTGACGCTGCCCTACCGCGCATACATTCGTGATTTGACAGAGAGTTCCATACGGACGCCGGGTCTATATCGAAACGACAAGGAGAGCAGACGTCTCACAAACACCGACGAGTGGGTCCATCCGTCTGTTAGGATCCGGTATTTGTATCATGGCCTTGGGCTTGACGACGAAGACGAATGGCGCTGCAAGGCCTTGTCCGGGCGTGGCTGGCAGCTTAAGCTCGTTGAAAAAGCACCCGACGCGAAGGATATTCGACAAGGTCGGGATATAAATGTCTTGGACCAGTACAAAACTATTGGCGGATCCGTTACAGCCGTACATGACCAATACCCAAAGTCCCACGACGAAAGCGAGACCCTCGTGCGAACAGAGCACCCCCCTGAAGCCGACCTCAAGCAACTTGCCGTTCCAAAAAGCACCTGGACCTGGGTAAACTCGGAGTTCTCAGAAGCCCGACCGCTTAAAGAAGAGCACATTGGCATGTGGGAGCGGATGTACATCGAAATCAATGAGAAGCTCGTCAGTGCGAAGGTGAAGAGCCAACACGGGAGGGAAACCACGCCAACACCCATCGACCGGCTCAGAGGTTTGGCGACGCTTGGTACAGCCAAGTGGATCATGGAGACCTCCCTGGCCACTATATTTGGCGCCGCCCCGCAGAAGTTGTTTCCGGAGAAGTATCCAACTCATTATGGCTATCACGACTTCGTCTCTTGGCAGAAAGGACTCAGCCCTGTTGCAGAGAGCGTGGCTCCGCATAAGTTGCGCGAAGGTGAGGCGCTGTCTTCGCCTTTGAATGACGGTACGTAGTAAGACTACGGTGCGGTATATTAGAATGTCTTGCCACGGGTAACATACTCAAAGAAGCTCGCGTTGTCAACATGTGGGTCCAGGAATAAGAAGAGATTTCCAAAAATCATTCTGTAAGTGACAGGGTTTTGATACTTGCACTTGGCCTTGGACTTGGGCTTCTATTACACCGATAGTGTATTTGTTGACTGCCTGAGTATCTATCAGTACGGGCTCATCTACTGCTGATTGTACGCTAACGCACCCGTCCGATTTGATGCCTGCCTATTGTCAATCACTACCCGCTTTTCAAGACTTAAACATGGTTTGCTGCATCATAGAAGCCAGGATATGGAGCTGTATTCATGCTAAGGGACAGTCGCTGCGGCGTGTGCCTTTCCTTTGTTCCAACAATATAAGAATCGACTTCGATCCTCAACTAAGCATCTCTCTAATACCCAATTACCGTCCAGCGATGTCGTCTAATTTCCACAATGCTAACAGCATCTTACACTTGTAGACTGCACACTTGCGGTATGCGCTTTATTTTCTCCTCATTCTGATGACAGTTCTAGTTTGAAACAACGGATTTTGAAAGATTGAACCGTGTAAACTAGCCAACCTAAGAGATGGAGGGGTTAATATGTAATAGAAACCGTTGAGACTGCTGGGTATGAAAACAATGCCATGGCCTGCTTTCAATACATGTCTAAGGCCTTCTACATAGACGGATTATCTATCCTCTCTTCAAGACCCCGAATCCCTTCAGCTCCCGACTCTAGATCGCTCAACCAACCCATGATTCTCCGTATCATGAAAGGATCATCGCATGATGAAACTGCAAGATCAAAGTCCCTCTGTCGCTGACTCGAGTTGAACTTGGACACCCAGTCAGGCTGCAGCTTTTGCATCTCCGCTAAGAACAACCGTCGCAACTGAGTCAGCTCGTAGTCCTCCAGATGCTCCCAGTAGAGCTCTACGACATCTCCGTTTTCGTCATGCTGGTATTTGCTCTTGATGGGCTCAACTTCGAGCGGTTTGCCTTGTAAGAAGGGTGGGTACTGGCATGCGGCGTACAGTGGTAAAGCAGAAACGCAATCCCAGTCCACAACAGCTGTCAGAGCTCCTGCTTCATTAACCAGGATGTTATGTCGGTTCATGTCATCGTGGAATATGACTGAAGGCTCCTTGTCGGGTCCCCCGGGAGGAAAGAAATTTGGCAGTTGAGCCCTGAGCTTCATAATGATGTTCAAGGTGTTCTCAAGGTCCTCGGGGTCCTCGGGGTCGTCATCTTCATCTCCGTTGTCCGCAGAATCCTCGTTTTCGCTATTCCTTTCGATATCTTCTCCCTCGCCCAATGTACCGACTTCATTTATTGCTGCGGTACGATTGTTTGTGGTCTCTGAAACGTCAACTGAGCTGGATTCTAGCACCCGGCTCAGGCGACTCTTGCAGTCGAATTCGGTAAGATCGAGCCGGGCAGTTAACCATTCGCTACTGGTTGCAAAAGGTCCACGAGGTACTTTTGGATCAATATCAATTCCAATGAAGTCTGTGGTGACCATTCTCTGGACGGTAAAGCCAGTGATAGAAGGCGTTGCGGCATCCGTGAGCCCCAAATCTCGATTGGGGCTGTCACCAGTGTCAAGACGCTTTTGACTGGGAGGCCCTGTTTCGTCAAAAGGTCTATTCGTCTCAAACGCTCTCTCCTCTGGCTTAGGCTCGGGATGACTTGAGTTTTGGGTTGGTGTAGAGTTCGGAAATAGATTACCAATGCCGTGCATTTGGTGGGAGAAGGCGTCGGAACAAAACAATGCGATTCGGCGTATCAGTTGTTCCTTTGCTGCAAAGGGGACTTCACGCCAGACATCAGCCCACGGTCTGCCTGGAACTTTCGTCATGATGATCCATTCAAAGCCGACGGGGTTGGCACGATCCGAACTGAACCCTAATATCTCCGGGACCGGAAGACTGGTATTCTGGTGAACCCATTGCACTGTCGCAACCTCACTGAGGGTCTTCCATTTTGGCTCAACTGGCAAAGTGATCCGAGCGACGACCTCATTCTCGGTAGATTTGACGATGTAGAGTTTATTAAAGGCACCCTCTGCCAGAAAGTCTATGCTGCAGTCGCTCCGAATGTTGAGGGTGCTTTTCACGGTCTCCATGATCACTGTAGTGTCGGGGTCGATGGTCCATCGAGGCTCGAGACCCCAAAAGGTGCGCACCCATTTGAGGCCCGAAGTATCTGGGGAAACCATCTTGTCCGTTTCTTTAATGTCGAGATGTATGCTTGCGCGGGCGGCTGGAATGAATTGCGAGGAAGGCAGCAACGACGGCGGGCAAGAAAGTGAATAAGAGCGTTAGCCGGAGTAAGGGAGCAGGGAGCGTCTAGAATTTTGCTGTCAACTCTCAAAGAAATCCTAAATGAGAGCCTTTGGCAACTGAAAATGCCCTCTTGTTGGGTTATTGTCGACCTATTTTTGTGTTCCCCAGGAAGAAGTTGTCGGTAGTGCAACCGCGCGCGTAGATGCAGATGTGGGTCGTGTCGCTAAATTTGGTAAACGCCTCCGTCACGGTCAGGTGACAATGTGCTGACCAACGTTGAATGGTGCTGCGAACGAACAAAGGGCCAACTCCATGGTTGACTGTTGGTTCCAACGACACTATGAGGAAGATCACCTGCTTCTAAATGTCAATCAATCACACCTGAGTGACATATGGTTGCGATGGAATTGACTGTCGCATCGGCCTATTTAGTCAGTTGCAGCTGCCGCGCGGCAAAATAGACCTATCTTCATCGAAAGACATCATATCTGGGAATAACTGTACCGCAAATGAGCCTGCGCATAGCTTGTTGGTTTGGTCGGGAGCAGAGTGTTCTATTTCCAGTACAACGTTGCGTGATCAACCTAGATGCCAGTTACTCCTCTTATACTTAATGGATGCATAAGAAGGGCTGCCATTCAAGCATTGCAATTTCCAAATTTCGTCTCACTTGTTCTACATTCTCTCAGATCCCTAGCGACAAAGCAATATAATAACCTCAAGAACTCGCGTCAACCATGGGCAAGGCCACCAGTACTCTTATCGCATTCATCGAAGGTATTCCCGATGAGAAGCTTCAGGGCTTCATGGATCCCAATCCTGCATACACTGTCTGCCAGACGCAGGACTTTCGTTTAGATGTTCAGAATGTGTGTCTAGATCAATCCATGACAGCTCCATGTGTTAACATCACTTGTAGATGACATCAGGCGACCCTCCTTTTTTGAATTTACAGGTGCAAGTCAACAGAGGCACAACCATTAGTACTTTGAAAAAACATGCCCAAAAGAATAAGAATTGAGGTACCACCGTGGCAACCGCACTAGTACCGACAGACGGATCTTGGGACGCCGCTACCGTCAGAAAAGCCCTGCTGGAAAAAATCCTAATCTAACAGCATCTTGATTAAGGGTCCACATGCACTTGATTTCAGTGTTGGCTGTTTGGATTTTGAATTGATTGGGTTTAGCTCCTCAAATGCGAACCAAGTTCCAGGTACACAAGTATGGAGTTATTGATGTTGCTCGAGTTCTCATGCTCTAGGATTTGCCTACACGTTGTAACGAAACATCAAGATCTAACTGCCATTTGTGCAAACTGTCATGATGTGTTGCGTTGACATGAGCCCGGAATTTCAAGTCCATATTGAATGGAGCTGCTAATGCCCCTCGACAGCGAGGGGCATAAAAGAGGAGACAATGGGAAGAGAGTGTTCTCAATAGTGAACCTGTGGATGATGATGTTTCTGGGCTCTCAGGGGGGTCGCTGAACTATTTCTTTCTGCAATGCTCCCAACAGTCTACCATGGTCCTCCTGCCATCATTAAGGCTCCCTTCGCATCGTGGAAGCTTTAAGTAGGGCTATCTAGCGTCAGTGGAACGGAGATCTGGCGAACTACCACATAAAGAAGCTGCTGTAACTCAAGAGGTGTTATTTTGAATGAACTACTGATCGTGTGCTGAACCATTATTAGTCCCCCTGGGGATGGCATCCAGGGCTGGATCTGTGTACAAACGGTACTAGCTTCTTGGGAAAGATTTCTTTGCACAACGGTGGGCTGGTTCAGATATTAACCGAGCAGCTTCTACCTCATCCTCTACCATACACTGAGTCTTGAAATTGGAACAAAAGCTGATGCGTTCGATTCAGCGTCATACAGCAGTGGAAGCGACATCACGATCCTCATTCTTAGTTGACTCCCAGCAACGTTAGCATGGTATCTCCCGCGACAACATCCGGCTCAGCAAACCTTGCTAACGACATCCTCAGCGGTCGGCTCCGTTCGTTTCTTTGGCCGACCGCTACGAGGGGCATCTTCGTAATATTCGGGGAGAATAGTAAGCAAAGGATTCGTAGGGTCGAAGCCCCTGTCTTTGGCGCGGCGAAGGATCTCATCGACGGTGCGGACAGGGATCGAAAGGGATTCCGCGACTTCCCTGGTGGTCCTCCCGCCCGCGCGGCTGCGTAGAGCAAGAACCGCCACCCTCGTTGCTGAATCAGTACGCTTCGTCGGGGTCATGGTAGGGAAAAGTGAGGGGTTCGAATTGTCAGCGAGGCCGCGGGTTGGTGGTTTGGTGAGAATAGCGGTGTAATGTGGAAAACAACACGCGGTCCGGGGCTCCATGGCGAAAACAGCATCGTCGTGGTGCTGAGCAGACTTAAGCGAGTCAGAAACCATATCGAAACAGAGAAATGAGTAAAGATTGTTGCACGGCTTCGAGCTTTCAGCAGATTCTTCTGAACCATTCTTTCGTACAAGCAAAAGCATTCATTGTCGAACAAAGACTCGGCCACTGCCGAGAATGATGCGAACAATGAGGTATCCAACCGCCGGAACGCCTAGTGTGAGCAGGGGTCGGGGGCAAGAATGGCTTTCTTTTATACAGTTGCACTGAATTGCAAAGAGCAGGGGTCTTGGCACTATAGCATGATACTGAGTGCTTGTATCAAACTACCCGATATGAAAAGGAAGATATCTCATCGTCATGCGATGGAATTGCCTTGCAGAGGCCGCTGTGCAGTAGTTCCTAGCGATTACCACAGGTGGTACCCGTCCTTCACGGGCGCCTAGGGTTATGTTTGCCCTTTGTTGTCGAAGTCAAGTTGTTTATGGGCCGAAAGGAGAGTCAGCTATCTCATTACTGTACCTTTGTGTAATCTAACTATTCTGAGGCCGCATATATTACTAGGTTTACTAATTCACTTTGAGAATACCTTATAAGTTTAGTATGGCTAATGATGATGAGGAAAGAAACAACTATATCAAGTAGCATAGCTAGAGCTGTTTAAAACTCTGTATTTTCTGTCCCTCACAAGACTACAATCTTGGAGGCTCCACCATGATCCTAGCTTGCTTTCTTCACAGAAGTATGCGTATCTGTCTCTTGGCGCCATGTAGCTATACGGGTGATAAATGTACAATCAATCCCTTATGATAGTACGGAAAATTAAAGTAAATGAGGTACTGCTAAGCAACGCCAAACAAGCCATTCGCATAGCACAGGTGAAGAGGGCCAACCACGGAGACTGGAATCTTTGAACGCCATCAAGAAAAAGTGTCTGTGACTTTAGCAATACAAAATCCTGGATTATGCACGCAGTGCTCGTAGAGTACATTTAGCTCGAAAAGAAAGCAAACGCCAAAGTTCCGCGCCAGAAAAACCCCCATTTCAAACAGAACTGCCAAACACCGCCCATGCCGTCCTCCCCACCGAACCTTGTACAAAGAAACGGCCGTCGTGACCGCCACCCGCCGCTCCGACCCGGCATGGCCGGTCGCCGTCCTTTTCCTTCCCTTCGCGGACCCAACCCTCCGACCACGTTCCCTCTCAATCCCAAAAAAAGGCCGCGTCAACAGCCAGGAAAGGGAAAACCAACAACGACAACCCATGACGTAAAACCCGCCCGCATAAGCCACAAACCCATCGGCCAGAGAGAGAGAGAGAGAGAGCCCCGCAATCCATGATCGCTCAATCTTCGGCTCGACCACAGGTCGACCCTGCGCGGCCCTCTCCCATCAGCCCTAGCTGGGAGCCTGGGCCCTCCCCCTCCCCAAAAACGCCCTCTTATCGGCGTGCCGTTGAGGAACCCTCTCCACCGCATGAACGATCCAGCCCCGCGGCGCGAGAGGCGACTGGTCGAGCGGCCGTACCCGCGAAGACGCAGCTCTTGGGTTCATGCGCGCAGGCCGGGGTCTGCTCGGTTGCGTGGCGCCCCGGACCGGCGATCGCGCTCGCAAGGACACCCTTGCGCTGGGGGCCTAGCATTGGCCTGCACTTGCAGAGGGACGCTTACAGTAGGGAACATTAGTCTAATGGGGGGACCATTTCAGCTCTAGCTTGGAGAGATACGCTGGCTCATAGCGTATGGGCCGGGTTCCAAGCATCGATGTGATAGAAATTACTCTTTGATTCTCCAAAATCTTCTTCCGTGCTTGGCTGTCTATGTGTGCTCAAGCTATGCTGTGTGGTATCTAGTGTTACAGGTTTCAGGTTCCAATGAAGGTATCGTATCATGGTGTGCTGTGGAATGTCATAATCCACGCAATGGTCATAAAATGGCGCTCTCTCCCCATCCATGGCATCCTAAGCGCCCCTCGCGGGCGTCCCATTACCCAACCAGCGCCTTCTGTGACGCACTCTCAATCATGCAACCTCCAGACAAAAGAAATAAGTAGTTCTACACATTAGTTGTTCTTACGATGCTGTCGTAGCTCTGTCTTTTGCTGTTCGACATGTTCCGGGCCCAGCGTCTGGTCCACCGCTCATATGGCACCTGCAATAATAATAGCAAGGCCAGATAGACCCCACACAAGAAGTCCGCTGTCCGGTCTACCCTTGGCACCGTTCATAAGCAAAGCGTCGAGGGGATTAACCGGAGGCTTTGTGGAAGTGCTCTGAGGTGCTGGTTTGCTTTCGGTCGTGGTTGTGACAACGGTTGTCGGCGGAGGCGGCGGAGGCGGCGGCGGCGGCGGTGGTACGGGGTTGGAGACCGGCGGAACTGCTGTGGCCGACGGTGGCGGAGGGGGAGGAGGGGGAGGGGAAGGAGGAGGCTGAGTCGGTGTCGGCGTTGATGTCGCTGACGTGATGGTTGGCGGTGGCGGAGGTGAAATGACAGAAGTAGTAGAGGGTGGTGGTGGTGGTGGTGGCGGCGGCGGCGGCGGCGGGTTGACGGTGCTGGTTGGGGGCAGCAGCACTGTGGTTGTGCTGGGCTTGATAGTCTGTACTTGGGACGACGTTGGTTGATTTTGTGCCGTACCGCAGAGCAAGTTGATCAAATTCCCTGCTAGAGCCTGACCAAGTATCGTGTTGGCCTGCACCTGTACGGCCTGGCAAGCATCCCGGACGTTGTTTTGCGTCCGTGTCAACCCACGCGTGCACTTGGCCGAGCATGTCCTCGAGTTCTCAAAGTCGGTCGCTCGGCATCCTATGATGGGACTGTTGTACGCCAACAAGCAGCCCAGCGGCACAGAAAGCTCAGTGATGAGCTGGAAGTTGGACAGACTGAGTGATATGTCGCCGACGCTGATTATGGTAGCCGTGGCCGCGGAGGTGAGGAAGAGGAGCTGGACCAAGTGCCACCGAGGGCATTGGAATATTGTATTCCTCATGTCCGGTAGCCGTTGTTCGTCGAACTCAACTGGAGTCGTCCTCGGGCGCAGCCGCCTTTGGGAAGTGTTGCCGAGGGTCTCGTTCAGTCGCTGCTCGGTTTCTTGTTTTACGCTTGTTTTTCTTTGAAGGTATCGTCGTTTGTTCGTGAGAGATGTTTCGTTGCGAAGGTCGAGTCGTCGAGAATGCAGTGACGAAGCGGCCAGGAATATGGTAGACGAACGAAGCTAACAAACCAGGATATGGCTGGGAGGCGCTTTACTTTTGGAGGATTGGAATGACAGCAGCGTGGCAGTCAGTCCTATTGAGGTCGCTGGCATCGAAGGGCAGATGGGCCGAAACGTCTCGCGTGTCAGAGGGTGCTGGGAATGACGGCACGATCGGCTGGAAGAACCACGGTCAATGCGGGTCGCAGGGCCGACAGGGTCCAGAGCTGGGACGACCAGCCAGCTGGACTCTGGGGAGCTAATTCGACTTGGCTTTATTACCTTATTTTTGGCGGCTGGACACCAGGTCGAGGAAATGGTGATAGGTGGTGATGGTATGAAAAAGGGCAAAAAGTGCGATTGCTTATAAGCGATCCACCCAACGCTACAGCGTCGGTCCGCGGCAATACAGAGATTTGGTGAATGACACCCTGCAGACGCCGGTGAGAAACGGCGTGTCTTCTGTCCCGTGTGGAAAATGCGCCGGTGGCACAGGGCGAAAACGAGCCCTTTTGCCTAGCACATGGGCAGACGAGAGAACAACGGGGAGAAAAAGGCTTCAAGAATCGTCTTGGCGCTGTTGATGGAGGCTCGAGCTTGGAGCTTCGCGTGGGCTTCGTATGCAGAGTTCCACAGCAGACCGGACGGGTGGTGTTTGTCCGAAAGTCAACGTGAAAGTCAGTTGGAGAGGGGGGCAGTCTTCACCAAACAGTAGGCAGTCGGTATCGACGTGCAGCTGCGTGTCAGCGATGCCGATATCAGGCGGCGGGCGATCGCGTTCCCGCGTTGAGCGCCTGTGCGGGTTGGAGGCAAGGAGCGCCTGAGCAAGGGCCGAGTGAGTGACAGGAGGTGCGATCAAACGAAGGATGCTGATCTTTGGATCTTGACTGCGCTGAGGCTTCCCGGGTTTGTGAAACAGAGGTGCTGCCGTCCCGCTAATCAACGACACCATTCAAACACACTGCTGTGACTGTTTGATGTTGACGGTTCGGGTTAGACAGAAGACAGAAAAAGAGAGAGAGAGAGAGAGAGAGATAGGGAGCCGTGTGGTCGGGATGTCGAGCTTTTGAAGAGGAACGGGCGGTTGAAATAACAGAAGGATAGAGGACGGGAGGCAGAGAGACTGGTCAGAGGGTTTGATGGATGGGAGAGAAGACACGGAACGGGGGCAAAAGGAGGCAGTCGACACTTGCTTCTTCCTTCTGCCTCGTTGGTCGGCGGCTTCGACTACCTATAGACATGGACTCTGTTCCCTTTCCTCGTTCGGGGAAGATCTCAATCAGATCGTCCCTCCCTCTCAGCCAACGGGAGACAGTGACTGTATCTTGGACGACGAAGTCCCTTTGCAAAAAGCACCAGCCCCTGCGCAGCCGTGATTCCCATGCAAACGCCATGGCGACATCTGATAGGCTCCCGCCTTTGAACGGCGTCGAACAGCGACGCAGGACTGGTCCCTGACGACACTCCTGACTGGAGCAGAAGAGACGGAGGCGATGGACCCAGAGGGCCCCTTCCAGCTCCGTGTTGACCCCGTGAAAAGCAGGGGGGGGGGGGGGGGGGGGGGCGGGGGGATTGGTTCACAAGGTTTCTCCTACTCGTTCCCCCGAGGATGGGAAGTTGGTGGCCCCAAAGGCAAAAGGCAGGGAGGCCAGCCAGCGAACGAGCAGGACGTGCTGAGTGAGGCTGGGCGAGGCGACACGGCAGGCAAAAATCGAAACGCTTTTGGCGTTTGAGGTGACGATGCAGGCTGCCCCTTGTGGGGCTGTGATTGGTTGCATGTCGCACCAGGGGGGGAGGGAGGTGCCCCCAGGTGCCCAGGTGCTGCCCCGCCCCTGCCTGCAGCAGCAGTGCAGCGGCCGTCTTCAGCTCCCCCGCCCAACAGCAGCAGCAGCAGCAGCCTCAGCAGCGGGGGGGGGGGGGGGGGGGGGGGGGGGGGGGGGGGGGGAATTGAAAAAAAGAAAAGAAAAAAAGAATTGAAAAAAGCATAGCCAGCAGGCGCCACTGGCGATGAGATCTGGGATGGACCACACTACCTACCGCCTGCACAGCTCCAAACCAGGCACAGACTCGTCCGTTGCGCTCGAGCCGGGGTTGCATTGGCGCCTATGATTCGCCAATGAGTGCGCGGATCTTGTTCATACCGCATCGCTTAGCCGTTCATTCACCCCGTCTGCCATCCAGCTCTTGCTCTTACTCTTACTCTCACTCTCACTCTCACTTTCACTCGCACTCGCACTCGCACTCTTATTGCTCACCCAGTCGCTTGTTCGCTCACTTCAGACCCTATATGCCATTGTTGTTTTCATTTTTCATAACTCTGGCCATCTGTACGTTTTAAGGCCAGCTTGAGACGGCCATGTTCGCGAAGGCACTCTTCCCGCTCGACCAACCTTGGATCGACGGCTTTGCACGATTGCACCTCCATTGCCGCTTGCTGCCATGTTTTCATGTTGTAGGTTCCTTGGGCATTACTGACGTCCGCATGGTGGCGAAACCTCGCTTCGCCATAAATTTTCCCAAGTAGTTATTGCCTCAGATCCATCGTCTTCGTGAGCACGCATTGCGACCTCGCCTCTGGAAGCCAGCACCGGTACGACTTCGGCCTGGGCCCATGTTCAAAATGGCTTGGGAAGACGAGACTGACTGGCTAGCCGTACCAATACAAGGTGCCCAAGGCACTGAGATCGCCTCGTTCTTTGCACCCTAGGCACGATATTTGGCTACCCTGGCTGGTCATCGTTCATCAGGCACACAATTGCCATGATACCATTCCACTGTCCCTATGCCTAGAGCTTCGCAATTCACATCAAGAGTCTTCATTTCTCTTCTACCGAGGCGGAAACCACGACAGGCTGCTCTGAAAAAGACAGCTCAGCTAATCATGAAACCTACAGCAAATGGTTGCCATGGGCGTCGAGAGCCCTATCCCTGGTACCGGTCACCAACCGTATTGCAGCATGCATCCAGGCTTGCCGATCTGTCGTGGCAAGATGAATCCCAAATTCTACGCGATGTTGCAAAGTCTCTGTCAATGCCCAGTTTTGGCCTCAGACCCTATGACAGAAGGTATTGGGACTCCAACTCACCCTCAGCCCGGGGTCCATAAGCCCGATACGAACAGGGCTAGCGTGGGATCCAACAAATACGAACAGAGGTTAGACCCATCCATCTGCCATATCTCCCAGCCAATAAGCACCAACAGATATCTCCGGTCCAGGGTCATTGGGGACGCGACGTCGATCGGGGTATGAGTAGCTGCTATCGGAGGAGGCTCCGGAGAATGGGGAACGTAAACTCCGGGAGAATGGAGAAAACCCCGGCGCTGCGTTGACACGTCCGTCCGCCTTTTAGGTCTTTCCCCATCTGTTCGTCTTCTCTGGCAGCCCGATATACTTCCCACCAAACCTTGATTTTCATCGTGTACCTTTCGCGATACCATCCTAATCTCGTCGCGGTCCCGAATTGCCAAGGCTGCAACGCTTCCGGGTCTCTTTAACCTGTGATCAGGCAGCTCGCTCCCAGCCCAACAGGAATCGCATGATGCCTTCCCCTGACTCGGCCCCGAGCGACGATGCGCGCAAGCGCAGAGCTCATAAGAAATCCAGAAAGGGCTGTGGGAATTGCAAGCTGCGCCGGGTCAAGGTACGCATCCCAGTCCCTTCCCTGGAGCCCCCTACCACACCATTCCTCTTCCATCCTCGTGGCTGTATGCAGGTCCGAAGCACATAATGCCATCAAACTCAAGTCAACAAGAACCGGGAAGCAAGGACGGCATCAGGATACCCAGCTGGGCTCCACATGAACCCCATCAACGCTCAAGCTAACCTCCTGCTTAGTGCGATGAAGCAAAACCCCGGTGCAAGAAATGCATCTCTTACGGCGTGACGTGCTACTATGGGACCACATCTACCGCTGCCGCCCTCTCCGTGGAGGTGGCGTTCAAGGTCGACTTGAACATCGCAACCCCGTCACAAATCAAGACCCCGGCTGCGCCGTCGGTCCGGAAAGCCCAGGCCCGGACCGCCACGTCTCCGTCTGCATTCCTCCCTCGCTTCGTGCCACCGCCTCTGCCGTACGCCGGGTCCATGGATAGCCCCGACACGGAGTACAGGCTCACGTCAACCGACATCCGCCTCCTCGAACGCTTCCAGAAGCGGACCATCACGACCTTCAGCACGCCGACCAGCAGGCTGGTCTACGAGAGGAAAACACTCCCCATAGCCTTCTCCGTAAGCCTCCATCCCCTTTCTTCCCCCTTCCCCCTTGAGCTCCCCCGCCCTCTTGCCGTCAAAACATACAGCAACGTGTCCAACTAACACCCACCAAAGCACCCCTTCGTAATGCACACCGTCCTCGCAATGACGCACCTCCACGACATCTCCCTCACTTCCTTCTCCACACCGCAAGTGCGCGCCTCCCTGGCCTACCACTTCCACCGCGGCGCCTCCCTCCTCCACCGCAAGCTCTGCGGCCCCATCCTCCCCTCCGAGCGCGACGCCCTCTGGCTGGCCGCCGCCTTTGTCGGCGTCGCCTCCTTCGCCAACGTCGTCGACATTGCCTGCCCCCACGAGGCCTGGCCCCTGAGGGAGAGCAGCCCCTCGGACCTCGACTGGATGAAGCTCGGCGACGGCAAGAAGCAGGTCTGGAAGCTGACGGACCCGCTGCGCACAAACAGCGTCTTCAGGGACGTGGCGAATGAGCTGTTCACGTACCTTGCGCAGCAGGCAATAACCCCTGGCGGCGCGGACCAATGGGAGTGCCTGCCGGAGGGCTTCGCAGAGCTGTTCGACCTCTGGGAGAATCCCACGCCTGAGAACCCGTATTTTGCGATGGCGGAGGCGTTGGCGGGGTTCTGGGGCGCGTCGGCGGAGCCCGGGTCGCGGGAGACGGCGTCGCCGTTTCTGGTGTTTACCAGCAAGCTGGACTCGCGGTTCAGGAGGCTGCTAGAGGACAAGGACGAAAGGGCGATGCTGATGCTGGCTTATTGGTATGCGAGGATTTGCGACCGGCGGCACTGGTGGATGTGGAGGCGGGCTGCGCTGGAAACGAGGGCGATTTGTGAGTATTTGGAGCGGAGATGGCAGGGGAGGTGGGAGTTGAGGCTGGTTGAGATTCCGAAGAAGATTGCAGAGAAGTGTGAGCTATGATTGGAGCAATGCGAGACAATCCATTTGACACAGGAATCACGTCGCGGGATATCAAGCGGAGTTCGTAGCGATTTCATTCATGTCACTGAGAGCATAGACGTGTAACAACAATTCAAGTTACAATGCCACATTAATGAATGTACGAGGCCACAATGATGAGCGTCTTGAACAAATATCATACCTGGTATCGCCGGAACCAAATGCTAAGAACCCCGCAAGATCAAACCAAACCCGCTGGACGCCAGTTGTATAATTGCACACACATTTCTCACGCCTCAACCGTGACATGTCCGCTGCTAGGCTTCTCCTCCTCGTTGCCCTGGGCCGCACCGTCATCAGCTTGCCCGGAGTCGCCGTGCGGGTATAACGGCTTGTTGGGGTCGTAGCCAACCGACTTGACTATTCCGAGGCCCTTGGTTCTGCCCTCTCGGAACAGTAATCTGTCGCCTGGAGCGAGGTACTCGGGCCGCTGGACGAACCGGAACGCCACTGTTGCCCTGTCGCCGGTCCGGATGTACGGGCGGTCGACATCGATAATTGCGCATGTCTGCGAAACTGGTCCGACATGCAACATAGCCTGGTATTTGGTTTTGATGGTGGTGGCATGAGAAAGGATCAATACTAGATATTATTAGATAGCGTGCTATGGCGACACTGTGTGGTCTGACTTACCTTCAGCAATAAACTCTCTGTGAACCTTGGGCGCCGGCTGTCCCTCAAGCTTGGGCAGGACCACCATGCCCTTTCTGACGTCCTTGCGACGGACCTTCTTCAGAGCGAACGATGCTGACTGTCCTGCAGAGGCAGCTGGCACCCCCAGCCTCTTGCGTTCAATCGAACGAATGCTGGTGGTCGTGAACTGTCCCAACGAGTCCGGCCCGATGAGGACATTGTCTCCAGCATGGATAACACCAGACTTGATAATCCCCGAGACTACTGTGCCGACGAACGGGACCGAGAACGTGTCGTTGACATGGAACTCGAAGGGGGCGTCAGAGTCGTAGCGTCCGTGGTGCGGCAAGATGTTCAAGAACGTCCGGACCAGGTCGAGGTTCTCGCCGGTGACGTTGGAGACCTGGAACACTGGGCATATCCGCTGACTGATGAACTGAGTGGCCGTGTTTATACATTCCTCGCGGTCCTTTATGAAGATGGGGATCTTGCGCGCCCCGGGGCTCTTGAGAATCTTTGTGATCTGGCTGATGGTCTGCTCGAGGATCTGCGGCGGGCAAATGTCAATCTTGGTGATGACGACCATGACAGGCACGTTGAGGGCCAGGGCAATGCCCAGGTGCTCTTTGCTCATGCCGATCAACCCGTTGTTTGCTGCCACCATCAGCAGGCAGTAGTTGGGGCTGCTAGAAAGCAGACCAAACACGGTCGTCCGTAAGTACTTCTCGTGGCCTGCCAGGTCCGTGAAAGTGATGACTTTGGCACTGCGCTTTCCGATCTCTTCCCACGAGAGTTTCCCTGGGTTCACGTTAGTTGACTTCTGTCCAACGGTGGGGTAAGCGGTGATTGCGTACGCCCAGGGGTCTCGGAGGTAATGACTTCTCCAACAGTGTCGAAACCCAAAATCTCCATGCCCACGGAGCTGGTTCTGCCCGTCTCAATCTCGTGCTTGTGTCGGAAGAGGTTCACTCGCGCTCGTCCTCTGCCGTCGTCCAGGTCACCCTTCACCAGAACACCCAGGAGAGAGCTCTTGCCTGCGTCGACTGCAATGGGTCATTAGTCCGAGTTATGCAAAGGGTCTCAGGAACCGGCTTGCGACAGTCTGCGGCATGCACCGCCTTGAAATACACAGGGGAGACGCACCATTGCCAACAACAGCTATTCGTGTTTCGATGACATCCTCCACGGTTGCCGGAGTCTGGCGAATCATAACCTTGCCGCTGCAGTGATTGTCCTTGCCAGACTTCGCGCTAGGGGCCTCCACGGCGCCGCCAACGTTTTTCGTGATGAGAGTCTGGCAGTCGGCTCGTATCCTCTTGGCCGCATCCTTTAGTCTTGTGTACGCGGTATTCCACTGCTCGAGAGATAGTCCCATCGATTCGCCATTGTTCTCAAAGCCGAGCTCGAAGACGGTCTCCCCGTGGCCCTCGAGTATCCTCTCCTGAATTACCCTCTCCAGTTTCTGAAGCGTCTCGTCGTCGGTGGCCAATAGCAGGTCCTTCAATCGTACGCCCGGGGTGGCCTCGGCCAGGTCGAGGTTGTCGAAGAGTTCATCGAGCTCGGCGTGCTGGTGCTCGGGGGCAGCAGTCGCGTTGGAGATGTCGGCCGGCTTGGCGCTTGGGTATCGTAGCGCCTGCTGTTTCTCGACGTACTCGGCGAAATCACTGAGAGCCTAGGTCGCAATGCGTCAGCGAGTGTCGCACAAGGATGCGCTTATCCGGGTGGGAGGCTTGCGTACAGCCTCGCCTTTCCGCTTCTCGTGCGGTAACGACTTTATGTTCTTGCTCGTCATAGTGGGGTGATGAGAGCGTTTACGTGCGTATCCTAAGAATCATTGATGCGCGTCGAAGCGAGGTAATAACAGGCTAAGAACCTGGGCTATACAGGAAATGGTACGATTGGGGACACAAATGGCGCGCAGTAGTGATTTATAGACGTGAGGCCAAATCTTGGTCAAAGGTTGGCGCCGCAACGGTTGAAAGGGAAAGAGTCATCGATTGACTCGAGCGGCGAAGTCAACCGTGGTACCTCCCATCAGCCCGTCAGTGACAGTCAAGGCCACATTCACCCCCACCAGGGTGACAAAAATGGGCCGCCGCTTTAAGGAACTTTACTTTACAGGCGACATTAGATTGGAACACGCCGGAACCAAGCGTAAGGTTTCTAGCTGATGGCTGACGGTCAATAGGAGCCTCCAACAGTCCTCTTAGCCCCAGACTGACTTTGAATGGGCTTGTCGAATCTTATTCAGAATTCTTTCCATTTGTCTTCTGCGAAACTGCACAATTCAACACCAGGTTACACAGCATGGAGATAATCTTCATTGACCCTCTCTTAAAGCAGCAATGCCGCTCCGTCATGAGTAACTCGGTGGGGCCTATCGATAAGAGCTTTGGCACGGGCTAAGCAGTTGCCATCCATCAGACTGCGGAGCCCCGGATTCTGCTGTGATTAACCGCGACGGAACTGTCGTTGCCAGCCTCAGACCCCGCCGCACACCCAGCTCGACACCTCGAATGGTCCAAGGGAGTGGGTAGAAGCGATGCAGTGCAGGGGGGCTGCTGGCTGACTCAGACGGTCGGCTTTTAGTCCATTGGCTTGAGTGTGGCTCAACCAAATTTGCTGCGCCTTACGGTGTTTCTTGATGATAGCAACCGGGAGGCCGAGGAGTCACATTGGAGTTGAACGTTTGCTGCAGTGGCATACCAATCATAACAGAGCCAGTAACTGGTTTTGAGCCTGAATACGCTCTTGTACTTGTAATTTTTATTTGAACGGCAAACAACGACAAGACTGAGCAACCCTTAGTCCATGGTAGATGCGCCAAGCTGTTTCTCAATCGTCGCTCCTAGGAGAGCAATGCCCTCTGGCCTAGGATCCTCCAAGACCGCATCGACGTAGCGTCGACCCCACTCGTTTCGTTGACGGCCAACGAGGCCTGGTAATGCGGGTATATAGGAGTAAGTCCGCGTTGACGTCCATGACGATGTGGGAGGGTTCGCAGATATCTCGGTTCGAGCAGGACCTTGAACCGTGCTTGAACCTCAACCGAGTCCTGCTTCCGAGTTGCGAGTGTTCAAAACTGGTCTCGTTTTGTGTTTCGATGTGATGCGACCAAATGCTTCATCCCGCATTGGTTATGAAGATGCGTGAGGGGAGATGAGTACCACACTGTCGCCTGCGAAATTGTTAGCTCTTTAGACGTTTGAATTGCCGAGGGAAGATCATACCTCGAACAAACAACATCTCCGACTTTCTGCTGATTGTCTGCGGGGTCATGTTAGGTTGTTGTGATGAGTTGGACGCGGCTAGCTTCTCTCACCTTCACTTCGTCGTCCTCCTCATCCTCATCCACCACGTAGATTGTCTCCTCCACCTCTCCTAGGACCAGGTTGCAATGGCTGTCGTATGCCTGCGAAACAAGGTCAGAAAGTCTCACTCGTCCAGCTTCCAACTAAGTATTGCACTCACGTGAAGTCTGCCCTTGAGTTCCCGGTCGCCTCTGAGCTTGACAAAAACCACCTCATCGAGCAGGAGCTTGACGAGGTCGAGGGGCTCCTGAACGTGAGTAGTATCTTCGCCGGCGTCCGCCATGATGAGAACAGATGAGTGTCGGGTTGGTCAGTCGGAAAGAACAGGGGGCTTGTGGTCGTAGGTACGGGGAGGCGCGTTTCTCGATGAAGACACAGCAACTCAACTGGGATGGCCGAGAGCAGTGGTGGGTCCAGACACATCAGAATTGTGCATTTTGCGCCGCTGAGCTTCTCCATCGCGTCATTGGTCAAATCTCTCGGATCCGGCGTGACAGATATTCCGGCCCTCAGGCCACTTTCTGGTTGAACCGTGCCACGGCACACCGGAAAGTGGACCGGAATGGGTCTTGCCCCGGGTCAGCGTGGAGCTTCCCGCTTTGGCTAGGATGGCACGGTTCGAAGGAAGGGAGCAGGGCTCAAAGTAGGCACTTGCAGGACCTTTGTTAGACGCCGGAGGGAGGGGAGGAGGCGGGAGGAGGCGACAGGAGGAAGTTGGGGAAGCTGTAGGGGTTGCTACCATTGGGGTTGAGGAGGTGCCAATGATTTACGTGGTACCTCCTCTCAACTAAGAAAGAGAGAGAGAGAGACAGTTCTATGTTTTCCTTGCCCACGCACACTTCTCGAGGTGCTCTCCCAGCAACGTCTTCGAAAACACACACCCGTTTGCCGCCCCTTTGGCTGCCTCCGTACTTGAGATGAACCCCAGATCTCGCGCTCTTCCATCATGATACCTGCTGCGGAGGCCATCGGCCTTCGACAGCTACTGTTACCGCAGCTTCGGTCACTTCCTCCTGGCACCCCCTCACGAGTCTTGTGTGCTCGGATGCGAAGATTTTCTCAACAACATCGCGTTTTGTCCACAGCAGTCCCTGTGAGACCATCAATCTCCCAACCCCAGCCGAGTCTCTCGAAGAGGAGACTGTCCCAGTCGCAATACCTCAACGCCGAAGCCCGGAGTGCGCCTGCGAACAAGCAATATGCCGATTCTCCCGGCGCCCTCGTAGCGCACGTGCTCAGGGCGGTTCAGTCGCAGGATACAAACAAGATTCTGAGGGGGTTACGGCACTAGCACACCACCAACAGCAGATCGAGGTTGCGGACGCATTACACAATCTTTCAACCACTGCCTTCTCAGCGATCGTGCGGTCTTTGGACCCTTCCCGAATCGGCCCCAAAAGCGACGCGACCCATGGTCTACGCATCCAGAGTGGTCTTGGGCAATTCAGCTCTGTCGCGTCCCTTGTAGACCAATATGGCGTTCGAAAAGTCTATAAAAACGCCTTCCATGCACTGCGCTCCTTGTTTGACTTACGGTCTTACCATGGCAGCAACCCGTCGCGAGCCGACTATGTGGTCCTCTTGAGATGTGCCGGAGCTGCGTCTGACTTTGAAGCAGCGAAGGGAATTTGGCATGGGGCAATGAAAGGAGACCCCGCTGGCAATCCCAGAGATGGTTTAGTTATTGCCGAGTACTTCAAAACACGGTTCCTCACAGACCCGACCTACGCGCAGAATGACCTTGCGAGATTTCGAATGCGCCCACGCAATATCGCTCGAAACAGGAAGAGCTTCGATGAAACTCGACTTCTTTGGCCTCTCGAGAGACTGCGACTGAGTATAGCCTTGCGCAAGCGAAACAGTTTCGGACGCGCTCGCTGGTTGCCGACACACGACCTACACCGTCTTGTTAGCTTGCCCGCACCTGTGAGACGACTTCGAAGCTATATCAAGAGAGAAAGGAAGGTGGTAGATGAAGAGTTCTACTGCGCGTACTTATTGGCAAGTGCACGCGCAGGTTCGTTCCGGGATATGATCGGACTTCTTTGGCGAACATGGAGGATCAAGATCACGGACTTGCGAGATCATCGAGCAGCAGAAATCACCGGTGGTATCCAGAGGCGGAACCTGAACCCGTTATTCCAACCAACCGAGCGCCTGATTCACGGCATCGTGCAATCATTTGGATGTACCGGCCACGTTATTCTCGCCAGAAAGCTGATTGTGTACATCTCTCAGCGATGGCAAATTCCAATACCACCAAGCTCCTGGTCTGCGCTCTTGGAGTGGACTTATATCCTTTCTTCTAAACCGGCCAGCACGGAGTGGAAGATCATGGGTGACCCCAACAGAATTATCCGTGCGGACGAGGTTCTCTCATTGTGGGAGACCTTGAAGGGTGAGCCCTTCTCGGTCAACGTCGGCCTCCACGAAACGGACATCTACGTCAAATCGTTGATTAGTGCTGGAAGGCTAGATGAGGCCTGGGAGGCCATAAAGCAGGGTTGTGCCGGGTACGACTCTTTGTGCGAAGAGGTTGAGGAAGCTCTGTTTGAATCGCTCTACCCTTCAGCTCCACCAACGTCAATTGCTCGCCATCGGCATCTCAAGACCAGGCAGCACATGACGTGGTACACTGTCCAAGGCTGGTGTCAGCAGTGGCTTCGCCGGACCAGCAAAAGCCTGCGACATCGACCACATCTCTCCCCCCAAATCATCCCCCAGTTCGTTGGCGACTTCTACCGCTTCCTGCCTGATCCGATAACATATACAACAAATGGAGGAACGGTCAGGATTGCAAACAAGGAGACGAACCAAAAAGTGAAGTGGGTGAGCCGCATCGTCACGAGCGCGCCAACACAACGCCTTGCCCCGGATCCAAACCGCCCGAAGTACGCCAAGCCAGTTGGCGCACGTGATCCGGAGGACCTGGTTCCCGTGCTGACCCAGTTGGGCGATCCGGTATACGAGAGTATGCCAATCACTATTCGAAAATCCATAAAGAGGATGGTCCGCCAACGGCGGCAGCTGAGGTTTGGACAAGACGAGAAGTTTCTCCGTTCTGGGAAGGCCATGATGCGGGACGACCCAGGGACGGATGTAGCAGATATGTACATACCCGACGTTGATACAGATATCGCTGAAATGGGACCGCAAGATGCTCGCAGACTAGATAAGAACGTTGTTCTGAGGGCCCTCGTTTGGTAAGTAGGGCGGTTACCGGATGATGTAATAGATAGGGACTTCGAAAATAGCACTGTTTCTGTATAGGTAACCGCAGATATTGAGGACGATTTTAGTATTGCAATGCCAAAGTGCTCCTCTGATCGCTCGCACCCGCTTGGAAGGTGACCAATGCCGTCTAGGTCGGATTCTGGGTAATCAAGAGGGGGCACAGAAGACCCCTGAACTCGGATGAGGCGCTTCCACATGTTGGCTTAGAAACAGGCAAGACAACTGACTTGTGACGTATGTTCTCCTGCGGGATATGTAATGTTCATTCTGTAACTACAACGCTGATGATGTGTACCCAGGCTTTCACGTCTTCCCAACACACAAGATACATGGAAGCCCATGAATAAACGCCTGCTCATGATGCAGAAGGGAGGGGGTATGAGATTCTCGGTAATGTATGTTTTTGTATCCGTGTCTTCCCGCTTCCTTGTCGGGCCGACCTCGTCGCGGCGCAGTCAGACCTTGATTTCGTCGGCGTCGCCCTCGACCGTTTCCAGCCGCAGGTCGTTGAGCACCATGTACCTGCTCAGCGCGATCCAGCCATACCGGAACCAGACCATCTGGCTCTTGTGCGCCGTCGTCATCGCGTTCCACGCCGTTGCCCAGCCGCCCTCGGCGCCCAGTTCGCTGAGAAACACCAGCGCGGTCGGGTGGTAGTTGTTGTCCTCGTCCTCGTCCTCGTCGTCGCTATCGTCCTCCTCTTTCTTCGCCTTCTTGGGCGGTTTCGGGGGTTGCTGCCGGCCGTGGTCACCCAGGAGAACAGCGTGGGTATCGCGTCGAGGAAGTTGCTGTACTTGCGCGCGACGGAGACTGAGGTCAGGGTGTACAGGTCGACAGGGGATGGCCACTGCGGGTCGGCTGAGAGGGCGGAGATGAAGGCGCGGGCGCCGTGGTACAGCGAGATGTGGTTCGGGTGGGAGGAGACGCCAATCGAGTCAAAGGTGATGAGGACGTCGATGTTGGCGTCGGGTTCCTCGCCTGCGGCGCGCTGACGGGCGAGTTGCGGGGCGAAGGCGCGGCCGAGGAGGGAGGCGATCTTGGTCTTGTCCCAGACGTTGGTCATGGAGTCTTGAAAGTCACTTGGGAGCGGGGCAGAGAGGTCAGCAGGTTGCTGGTCGTATGGGGAAGGGATGAGAGTTGCTCACGGGCTTTCAATGACAAAAACGTCTTGCTCTTGCTGCAGACCGAGCTTCATACCGCTCTTGACCAGCTCTTTCTTGCGAGTTTCGCCCAGACCATCGGCGTCACCTACACACGTGCCCCTCTCGTCAGCGATTGCGCTGCATTGCCCCTCCAGCAGCACCCCGTGGATCTTTCCCTACCTGAGCTCAGACACAAGATCTTAACATGGTTTCCGGTCTCGGGCTTGGTGAGGGCCAGGACGGTGGGTGCAAAGAACATGGCCTCATCATCCGGATGCGCAATCAGAAGGCAGATTCGTTTATTCTCCAGGGTCGGCAAGCGCGGCGTGAGTAGCGGCACCAAGCATATGTACAATGCGGGTGCGACTGCCACCAGTAGAGCGCCGAGAAACAACATCCAGCCCATTGTCTGTTCGTGGTCGCGCGAGCCTACTCTCCCGGCGCTTCAGGGATGCGATTTCGGTTCGTCGGTGAGGAGGCTTCGGTTTCCCCGAGGTGGGGTCGTCTTCGGGGGGAATGTGTCGTAGATGCGGTGTGGCGCGGGTTGAAGGGCCACAACTTTGCGCAAAGGGTTGCGCGTGGGAGACGACCACGAAAGGCAGGGGAGGAGTAGGAAGGGGAGTGTTCCCAAAGGAACCCGTAACAGTGACGAGACCGCACTAGATGCAAGACAATAAGTACGAGGTAGCCGTCATCGCCGGGGGCGAAAGAGCGGAAGACTGAGATGCCACCTTGCGATTTGGGAGACCCTGGTCCAATCTCGTAGGTCTTCCCTTAGCGACGCCGGCAGCGGGCTTTCGGTGGCGGTGACTGTCAATGGTGGTGTGGGTGGTGGGCAATAGCGGGAGGCCATCGGCTAAGAAATTAGATGTGCCTCGCAACGTGGACGATTATCATCCTGGGGCAGTCGGTGTGCGTCGCACCCGTTTCCCTTGCCGAAAATGCAAGCGGTGACAGATCGCGGAACGGGGTCCTGACGAGACTAAGTCCGCCGAGAGGGGCAAGCGACGGCTACTGATTGGCGGGTTGAAGCCTATGTCATGCGACGAACAGGGCCCTTTGGTCACTGGACCGATGGCCTGCAGGGGCCGGGGAGCTCTTTTTTTTATGGGCCGGAGCTGAGCTGACAGCGGGGAACAAGGTTGGTTCTGCCAGAGAGCAGAAAGTGTCAATGTCAGCTCAAAGCTGCGTCTTTGTCAGCCAACGGGCACGCGACCAGACGATAAACGCCGTGACGACAAACATACCTTGCAGCTGCGACCGAGGCCTGCTTCGATCAGACGGAACAATCTCCGACCAGAACTCGCCCGACTCTGAACATCTTTGTTTGGAAACGTAGACGGCCGAAGGGGACGACGAGGACGTAATCCGAGTGTCGTTCGGAGCCTTGAACATGGCAAAGAAGGGCAAGGAAAAGAGGGTGAAGGATGCCGGCAGCATCCCTTTGGCACAACCAGATCGGTCTGGCCCTAGCGAAGCCACGCTGCTCCAGCTTGCTCAAGAGAGGGGTCTCTTCAAGCAGGCCGAGCAGGACCCGAGAAACAAGAACCTGTCCAAGGGTGCTGTCCCGATCGATAAGCCCAATAAAGAGGATAGTAGCGATGGTGAAGAGGATGACGATGAAGAAGCTGTGCTGTCCCCTACCATGGAGCGCATCATGGACACTCTGCTGTGGACTGTGAGCCTGGCCATGGTCCATGGCACTTTTGATGTGCTCGTTCAGAACCAATACGCCATGAAGATCGAGTATTCCGCCATCATCAGTCGTACGCTGGTTGCCTTCTTGGGTGAGTTCCAATCCGAACAACTGAATGCCGCCTGTGCTGACGGTGTTTGGCGGCAGTCCTTTCCTTCCTCTTCTACAACCTCCATGCGCACCCTTCGAGCCCGAACCTCATTCCGGGACTTCCGCTTCGTTTCCAGCATCCCATCCGGCAGGCCATCTTCTTCGTCGGCAGCACCTGGGCTGGGTGCCACCTGATATATATCACCAACGAGTTCAGCTATCTGTATGTCTTAAAACAGGCTCCGACGCTGGGATGCGTGTGGATCTGGTCGATCCTAGAACTCGATCTGGCTATGGCTGTCGCCAGCCTGGCCGCAGCGGGAGGGTACCTGGTACAAGGAGGATACGCCATTAAATAAGCAACCGCAAGTCTTCACTTGGACATTGATCGTCTGGTTGACTGAGAACGGACTCTGCGTTCGCGCCCTCGCGTTGTTGGCTCAGTTGGGCTTCGCTGCGAAGAGTTGGACACCCGCCGCGATTTGATGGCGTTGGTCATTGACTGGTCATTTGCGTTGCTGAGTCGACTTTGGTGCATCAGACGGTAGACGAGATCCTCCAATCGATGAATCTGGGCTCGCTGCTCGGTAATTTGGTTCTCCATACGAATAAAGCTGTCTTCGGTCTTCGCTTCCGTCCATGTGGCCCTTGACTCTAAATCTCGAATTCGCCTGCGAAAAGTATGAGCTTTGGCAATCAACAGCAATGAGGGGGTTTCTACGAGGATATCATGCTCATTTGCGTGAACTGAACCCGCGCTGTCAGAGATTCTCTCTGCCGAACTAGTTCTAATGTTTTGGAACGGACAGGCAACCATGCCATGGCGACGTTGGTTGTGAAGCTCCAGCTCTTCGGCACGAGGGTCCATCTGCCCTGGTTCTCGGTGTCCTGGCCGGCGGCTTTTGTCTCGGCTTCAGCTAGGAGCTCCAAGATGCGCTGTTCCAGCTTGATCAGGTCGTCCATGACGAAGGCATACATTTGGTACTCTGGCTGGCGCTGACGCGGGCCCCCGGGCCTCTCGCCGGCGGTCTTGATCAGATCTGAAAGCCATGTGGACTCCGTCTTGAACCAGGATAGAGAGGCTTTGACCCGGAAGTATTCATCGTCACTGTTGCGCAGGTATGTGATTCTGACATAGACAGCTGCAACAATTGCGACGACGAAAGTGAGAATGCCGGCAACGTTAGCTGCGATGGACAGAGGGCTGTCCTGCTGCGTCACGGGGTCCATCGGGAGAGATTAGAGATGCGCTCGCGGAGTCAATTGAGTGGATGCGTGACGATGTAACGTATCTGTGAATGCCTTCAAATAGAGACCGGGACGACTGCCTGGTCAGGCTCGAGTCATCGGGAGGAAGGGCGGGAAAGAGGATCTTGGGACTGAAAGAAAGACAGAAGAAGGTGCGGATGCCTTACCCCTGTCACTCCCGCCGCTAGGATGTTAGCGCCGCTCTTGGCAACCGGTAGTGGGGCCGTTTCTCACGTATCTCCGACACCACGTGATCTTTAACTGTCGACGACTTACTCACGATGGTCAACTATTGCTTGTTTGATAAGTGTTATTGTTTTCTCTTGAAATTGTAAGATTCATTAAGATAGCCTTGCCCTTTGTAAAGACAGCAATCTTGGCCAATCTCGGCACATCTACGTCCGGCCGTCTTCAGGTTATGATATGAAATCGGACATCGTTTGAGAATAGTGAATCTGGGACCATTTCCAAATCATTGTTGCTACAAGGATACATCTATCGTGTAGTTCATATTCGATTATATCCTTGCCGTTCCTAGCCACCAGTCCCGCACCATGCAGCGGCGCCAACATAGCCAATGTGCCAACTAAGCATAACGGAATGTACTGTCAAAATACTATGATGAACCAAATTTCACTGCAACTAGTTCATCACAGTATCATAATTCTTGGAGGAGACGTGGTACTCTTAAGGTTGCTGGGTCACCAGCACACTGCCAGCTTTCGGAGGCGCTCTATGGGCTTCGACGAGTACAACACAACAGTAAATCCCCTGGCATCAGTAGTTGTATTAATATGCGCTCTCTCCCACAGCAGCCATATCACGGAGGTGGTAAAATTCTTTATTGATTTTACTGGCTGGCATCCGTTAAGATCGCCTCACTCTTTGGGCTAGCTGTTGTAGATGCCACCAACACTCTCTTAGCCTCACCTTTCTGCATCACCTGCAGCACCCATCTTGATCGAAAGAGCCATATGAAGCACAGGCCAGTCATATCCTGCTCTTTCTTTCTTTTGTGGGATTCGATATACTCCCATCAGAGCCACGAAAAACCAGACCACCTTCCGCTGACTCCATTGAAACGAGCAAACAGTCGGGTATCCACCAACCTCTTGTTTCTTCCAACCTCTCTCCCTTCTTCAATTTATCCCTCGCTCATCACCTTCCTACCTTCCAAGTTTTTCCCCCGCTTGCCCCCGACTTCAAAACCAAGTCTCTCACACCAATTCTCCTCATCAGCCAACAATCACCAACAAATACTAAAAGCTTTCACCTCGAACACGTCGCCATCCACGGTAAACTCACTTCAACTCATTTTTAACACCTTCATCCACTAAGAAACCCCAGCATTCATCATGTCCTCCAACGGCTTCACTCCCTACACTGTCCCGTACACTGGCGTCGTGGGCACTGTCAACTTCGTTCCAGGCGCCGCCGCGCACCCTCCCGCGCCCCAGGACAAGGATGGCCAGGGAGGTTTCCAGCGGCCTGCTGTCGCTGATGAGCCCGTCGCTGCTGACACCAGTCGTAGCAAGGGTAAGTCGATGACTATGGGTGCGACTGGCGGTCCTCCCGAGGACGTCATTCCTGCCCGGTTCGCGTCAGCGGGAGCTGCCGCTGCCAGCGGTGGCATCGCCATTGTCCCAGGCGGCTCTCGTGCTGGCACTATGCCGTCCTCTTCGGAGATCTGCGCCGCCAGCGTCAATGGTCAGATCAGTGTTCAGAAGAAAGAGGAGCTCAAGGGCTTCAACTTGGTAGGTCCAACAACCCATTCCAGCGACTAGAGGATCCGTCTCTTGGCGAGCTTGAAGGATGCCACCATCTCTCGGTTGGTCTGAGCAAGAACAGAAGCTCCCTTCATTCTCTTCAGCAATATTGATGAGATGAGTTGTTTGGGTCAACCAGTTTCTTTGCTCCTTCTTGCTTAGCCATTGGCTCCTTCCCTTACCGTTTGAACTCGGATCTCTCATCCTCCTTTCTAGTATCTATATAAAGCCTCTTTTTCTCCAGCTTCTGATATTTCTTTCTTCCCTAGAACAAGAACCACTCGCCTTTTGGCATTGATGGCCAGTGCGATTACGGTGGCGAACCGTCGTCGCCTACCTTGATGACAATGAGTGCGCAACGCCGTGCTGACCGAGCCTTGCCCGTACTTGCGCAGCAGCTGGAGGCCGTGAAGGCCGAGAACCAGCGACTTCGAGACTCTAATCACTGCCTGCAATCTAGCATGTCTGGAACTGAGACGTTGCGTCAACTTCTTCTCAGTCTTCAGAACAACAATCAACAGCTCCAGACCCAAATCCAGAGTCTGTATATGCAGATGCAGAGTATTCAACAGCAGGCTCAGAATTTCGCTCGACACCGTGACAACCTCCAGGCTCGGCTCCACAATGCCGATCTCAGCCTCGAGGAGCTCACTGACCTCATCGTTCGCCTCCAGAGCGTCGTCCGTCGCATTGATCCTGACATATTTGTCACGTTTCCCGTGGAGGTCCAAGAGACGTTGACGGCTATCCACGAGGAATGGAAGTACCAAGAGTACTGCAAGATCTTCCAACCTCAGCAGGGCAACAACTCTTCTGGCGACGTCAGCATTCCACAGCCCCAGGATGCTGACCAGTCCCAGTCTATCAGCTCCATCAGTGGTTCTTCGCATGCCAATGTCTCTTCTACCGATTCGGGAGAGATCTCTTCCAACAATCATGGCCATGGTGCTTTGGAAACCGGCACCGTCTCTGCCGCCCATTCCAACAGCGACTCTGCCAATGTATCGGACAATACCTCTAACGACATCTCCAACAATGACCTCCTTAGTCAGTTGTTCGAGGGTCTCACCCTCGGTGGTCTCAACATCATGAGCTCTAACCAAACTTCTAAGGGCGCTCAAGCTACCGAGAACATGCTTGAGCTCTACGCCTCCTCGACCCCGTCGAGCATTGGAACTCCCAGAACTGTCTACTCTCCCAGTATTCCCGAGACTGCTCAACACACTCAAGCTACTCGAGTCTCTCAGATCTCTCAGTCTGCTCAGGCTGCTCGCAGTGTCCCGGGTGCTGAGTCTCCGGAGACCACTCAGGACATGCCGACCCCCAACACAGTCGACTCTCACGGCACGCGCGACACTCTCGAGCACTAAAAAGTGTATTACATTGCGGCAAGAGCTACTTGTGCACTAAATTTCACAGTTCGACTCTATACAGATTAGGTGAGACTTCAGAGTCACACTCCTTTTGTGTTACTACTTCCGCTGACATCACGGCACCAGATTCAAGCTACCATTGTGATGGATGTTCTATGGTAACTTTAGCCACGAGAAGCCTTGTCTCTTGCTCGTTACAGCATCCACTATGCAGATAGACGGAGTGTCTTATGCTTTAGGTTTTGCGGCACTTCATGTTATGCAAGCTTCCGCCTCTGCTCGTTTTCAGCACACAGCAAGCTTGACAACATTTGGAATCATCTATCGGATGCCTTCAAATCTTGGTATAGACTGATCTTTATCAACAATTTCGCGACTTTCAGCTAACCACTATTTTCTAGTCACGACAGCATTTGCAGTACCCGAGAACCGTCATGCTACAGCCCTTTATTTCCTTTGTTCAGCAGCACGGCATCATTTTTCAGTCGATTCGGACTCGTTTTTCACTCACCTTCGTTCGGACTGCGCTCTAATATGCATTCATCAAGATGCACGTCTGCGCACGGAGGTCTCTTGACCCGGACAGCAACACGCTGCCGTTTGCCCTCGCACTAATCGACAGCCTAGTTTGTCACCATTTGGGAGGCAGTACGTTTGCAAAAGGCTTACTGGAAGGGAATAAAACTCAGGTTCACAAGGAGAAACCTGAGAACAATGCAAAGAGGGGCGGGGGGCTTGATAGGCACTACTGCAATGCAACAAAAGACCAAGTTGGACCGTTAGTTAGCAGATTGTAGACAAAAATCAAGCACGTTTCTCCCAAACATAGCCTTACAGTACCTCAAATGCGAACGCGCAATGTGAGATGGTGGTATCTGAATAAGTCTTGAGTTGAGATTTGGCCCAGGACTTAATAGGAAAGGTTGGGTTGTACGAAAGCCTACGTCCTTACACCGTAGGAGTTTGCTAATACAGACGAGCAAACAGCTATAAAATCACGCCATCATTACCTCAAGAAGAAATTACAACCCAAGTCATGTCAGAGAAGCCCACTCGAAGGGCCATGGAAAAAAAGTCATTCTAGTCACATTTACAGATGCCCAGAAGACCTAACAAGCCGATACCTTGTGACAGAAGTGTGTCGTATGTTTTCAGAATAGAACATACATTGGCCATGCCCGCAAGGGAATCGAGGAAAATACCGTACGGTTCTTTAGTAACAGGGTCAATAGCTAACCATCGAAACTAGACAAGAAGGTTGGGGATAAGATTAAACAAGAAAGACATAGAAATTTCTTTCGCTGAACAGACTTCACTCCAAGGAGTACGTTGTATCTGGAATTGTAAAGGCCGGCACTTCAAAGACCGCGGTTGCAGACAGAAACCGCATCGAAGAAGACCGAAAAGACCGTCACTCGAAATAACAAAGCACTAAAGAATCACATCAAGTTCTTAACACCATCGATCATTCTACTGCCAAGCCTACCGTTGCCAGACAGACGGTCGTCGGATATTTAGGGACTGGTGATGCATGAATCAAAACCCCTATTTTAATCAATAAAAGCAGCACCTGCGTATGCATCTGAGAAGCCGGCGAAAACGACGACACACTCAGGTAACAGCGCCTGCGGGTACACGACCCAAGGCAGAGACTGCCGCGACGCTGTCAGATGAATCCTCGCCTACCGGTACGCAAACGGGAAAGGGTACGGCTTTTGGATTAGACCACCCCCAGCTGCCAGGTGCCGTGGGGCGGATCGATTTAGTTGGCACGCACTTGTTGCCGCCTAAAGGCTGTAGTACATTTTCGAGCGACGTGGGCATGAGTAATTTCGAATACAGACATCTGACGGAAAGGAACAAGAAGTGAAACCAGTGGTCAAACTCATGGGCGGCATGGTCTCTAATACAGGGCCCGCAACGGCGACAGCACCGGATCGGAGCATGAGACCGGCAGGCTCCGCCGGTCCAGGAGGCGCACCAGACACTCGTTGCAACATCGTCAAAGGCACTCATAATGTTATCGCGACCACGAGTCAAAGAGTCACAAGCCTGGCGTTTGCTCTCCATTTTGGACTCCGTCAGGCTTCTAGGCACCAGCAGCAAACTGTTTCAGCCCGCGCGTCAGCCCCGGCCAGGCGACCGCACCGCAAAAGTGGGCCGCCCCGAAAAGTCGACAAAACCCGCTCATCCCGCCGCCGCCGCCGCCGCCGCAAATCTCACCCCGCAACCTCACCTCACCTCACAACCACCAACACCGGTCTCACATTACTTGGCCGCATCCCGAATCATCCATACCCCATCCAAGAAAGAGGAACCGCAAACATGGCAACCGATCAGCAACCTCCTCAGAAACCCCCATCGCCAACCTTCAACCTCATCTACCCCCCCTCCCTCGAACCCTACAACCTCCCCATGCGCGCCTGGCTCACCGCAAACTCCAAGTCCTGGGACGGCCTCGCCACGAGCGCTCTCGTCTTCGACAGCCGCAACCGGGTTCTCCTGCTCCAGCGCGCCGCGCACGACAGCATGCCCCTGCGCTGGGAGACCCCCGGCGGCGCCGTCGACGACGAGGACACGAGCGTGCTCGTCGCGTGCGCGCGGGAGCTCTGGGAAGAGGCCGGGCTGGAGGCCGTCGAGATCATGCGGGTCGTGAGCGAGGGCAAGGGCAAGGAGCCGGGCAGCACGTTCACGAACCGCACAGGGACGGTGGTGTTCCGGCGGTTCGCGTTCGAGGTGAAGGTGCGGCAGGCCGAGGGCGAGGAGCTGGGCGTGAAGACAGACCCAGAAGAGCATGCGGATCATGTGTGGGCCTCGGAGGAGGAGGTCTTGAGCGAGAGGGTCGGGGAGAAGGACATTCCGATTACGAACGCGCAGATGGCGAGCTTGATCCTCGATGGGTTCCGGAGGAGGAGGGAGGAGGAGATGGAAGGGGAGAGAAAGATTGTCGAAGGATGAGGGGTGTGCGTCTTTGGTGCGGACGTCGTCCTTTAGGCGTGGCGAGAGAGGCTGGAAACTGGAAGCCATGAGGTTCAGGAAGATGAGGGGTGCATGATTCTTGTTGAGGTCATCATACGTGAGACCGAGGATGGGCTCGCCTACGGTTTCTTGGACGGTCATCTAGGAGAGGATACAGTGAGTTCATTTGCCCTGAATAAGCTCCGCTGGCTTGGGCATCACAGCGAGGAGCGGGCTGCGGGTAAGGTGTTTCTTTTTGGGTCGGTAGGCCGTCGACAATGCTTTTACTAGCGAAGGCATCCGGATCAGAGGCCTTGTGTGTAGGGGTGAGAAATGAACAGGCACTTGTATAACCAAGAAGGAAAAGAGACTTGGACCCTCCCAGCACATGGCTGGCTTTTCGTCATTGGAACGACGCAGTCTGTTCTCTTTTCAGGACTCTAGATCACATTCTTGAACCAAGAACTTCATCCAGGCCGTCATTTGGCATCTCACGCGTCAAACGACCAGCTACTGCAGTTTAGCCAAGAGTGGCAGAAAGACGCTGGCTCTTGTTTCCTTCGTTACAGCCATTGACAACCCATTGTGGACCTCGAGAGTGTCCTACTTGTCAGAGCCTGCATGCCTTCATAGCCGCCACTATACCCAAAGCACCTATCGTGATGAGAAGAAGCTTGGTGCAGAGGCGTGCAAAAATAATCATCTTCCAGCTCCGAGAGAGCAGAAACGAGCCTGTCGTGAGAACACTGACCGCAAGCTCACTCCATCGGCGCTCACCTACTCCTCGAAAGAGAGCGGAATGAGCATCATTAGTAGCGCAAGTGCCCGCATGTCGCGGCTGAGTCTGAGACGAAGCCCCAGATCACTCGGTGGATGACATGATCTTGATGGACTAGCATAGTGGATGATAGTCTTGCTCATCGCGGAAGCCTTCGTGCTGGGGTGCAGCTCATATCCGCCAGCTGACGCGACATCGCCATCACAAGCCATGAGGACAGGCATGATGGTACCCTACAGGCGCTTCCCCAGGATATTGAATCAATCGGTTGTCATAGACTCGAGGATGCATGGGCAAAATAGTTAACCATTATCCAGGCAGGCGAACAGCGTCCTGGTAGTAACAGCTCAACGCCAACCTATTTGAGGCGGGCAGCAGGCCAAGATCTACAGAAAGCCTTGCCATAGGAGCAGAGAACCGAGCAGCTGAGCAGACAAGCGAAGCGTCCCTTGTCAAACATCAGTGAGCAATTGGCAGCGCAAAGCTCACGACGCTTCCAAAACGGGCAAGATGGTCGCTCCATGGTGGTTCCGACCTGTTGCCCTTCGGAAAGATGCCGACGCCAGCGTGGAGCCCAGACGATCGCTGCAAGTGCTGCGCCGGGGCCTACACTACTGAAGCCCGACGCCAGTGTTGTCTGGGGCGCAGAATTCGCAACATCGGTGGTTCAGGCACCAAGTGCATGCATATCTGCAGGGCGAAGGAGCTCGACAAACTTGGCAGACGCCCTGCTCGACCCAGGGGTAGTTCGTTTCTGGGATCACTCAAGGGTCCGAGCAGCAGCTACAAGGCATATGCAGATATTGCCGTGTCATGCGTTGCATCTGTAAGTGAACCATCGCAGGCTCTGAACAAAGCTCAGAAAAATGCGGCACCGGCAGCAAACGGCAAGATGGGTGTCAGAACTGGTCGACCAGCTTATTGGGACCGCAACTTGGTAGCAGCGTGGTGCGTCAAACGGGCTTCCGACAAGGCACAATGATGCGAACAATAGGCGGCAATCCCGGGTACGCCGGAGCTCCGGAGCACGGGTCTAGACCTCCTCAGAGCAACCCACTCGACGCCTCACACGGCCCGGACGGCGACCGTGGCGGGATTGCATCGTCATCCGCGGCTCTGGCGGCGCGCAGGACGGCACCAGTTGCGCAGTAATTTGTGAGGCCAGTCATAAGGCATAACGGGTGCTATCAAGCGTTGGCGAGGACTGGTAATGCCCGACGCCGGCCAAAATTAGAGCTGCCCAAATAGGTATCCAGCACACGGGTTAGTCAGGCTTCTAGCGCCAGACGCCAGTAATTGGCGCGGAGTTTTGCTATCGGGATCTCCAGGGAGATCGATTTGGTGGCTGACAAGAGGCCGATTCGGCGCTGTAGATCCGAGAGCATTGGGATGACAACAGATGAGGCGAGCAAGAAGAACAGCGGCAGGGGAGACAGGGACTCTGGGGTTGCCGGATTGGGGAAGCCGGCGAGGAGACCAGCCGGGCTGCGAGTCCCCAGTCGGAGGCATAACCGGAGAGAAAAATGACGGGCGAGAGACGGGGTGGAGGACCAACAATGTGGAGGCGGTGGGAAGGGTTGGTGAGGCTGCTCATTGGGCTTTAGTGAGACTCGCGTGCCGGGGCATGCCGCTGATCGGCATCATCACCCCGCGAAGGTGTCTGAAGACTGGAGGGTTGAAGAAGGATTGAATGGTCAAAGGGACCGGGGGGCTTGCAAATCTTGAACAGTCCGTGACGATGAAGAGTCCAGAAACGTGGAGAAGAAGACAAGATTCCTTTCGTTGACGTTGCGTCGATCACCTTGTGGTGACATGGCTGACTCTGCCAGACTCCGTAGTGTACGTCCTGTTTCGGCACGGGGACGAGTGTTCGCCTCGCGTTGCATGACACGGAGTATTGCTGCTTTCCCAGGAGAGGTGAGCTCATGGGTCGCGTTGTCGTTGTCGCCGTCACCGTCGTCGTCGGGAAAGATTGCGGTGAGCCACTGGTACCTTGGCTCGGTTCGTTAGCCTCCTGAACACGATGCAACTCTGTTTGCCTTGGTTACGTGAAGCCCCATGCACACTACCGTAGGTACAATATTGCCAGCTGGATTCGTTGTTGTTCTGGGGCTGCAGTGGGCGAACACCGCAGGGTTCGTCGTGAGCTTGACTGGATTGGGATGTGTTGATAATGCGTTGTCGCCAATTGGGGACGATGCGACTAGTGTCTCCCCCCCCAGTCTCAAAAAGCTCACCAAGAGGAAGCGTGGGCAGCGCAGCATTGAGGGCGGCGTTTAATGTCTGGCTGGCCGCCGTGACCCGGATTGGAGTGGATGGGAACGGATGGGGATGGATGCGTAGGTAAGTGTCCTCTTTCCTCCTTCCTTCCTTCTTGTGGCTGTAGGTATGTCGTCTCTCCTTCCTTCCCTTCCTCCCTCCTTCCTTCCTGAGTGTCTGTACCTCACCTTCCCTCACTAGGTATCTAAGGATCCGCTGCTTCCTCTTTGGAGCTTGGCATTCTCGCGGGGCAGGCGCACGATGGCATCGCGACTGCGGTGCAAGCAGGTGCAGACTGTCCTCCCTGGAGGGGGGGGGGGCGGCAGGTTACGCATCCGCGACTCACGGGGCCCCACATCGAAGCTTCCGATGACCTCAGCGGCGTCGATCCTCGATCATGGCAGGTGCTGACATGCCTCGCGCACCGGTGCGTCTGTGTGGGAAGGCTGCAAAGCTGGAGGAGCTTCCCCACATCTTGCCAGTCGAATTTTCACTCCCCCATGTACACTTTTCCCTTTTTGCCCATCTCGACCCTACGGAGCCCCTCTGGCAAGTATCCTGTTGGACTTTGGGAGGAAATCACTGCAGTCCACAGCGGCCAACATCACCAGCAACGGAAGGCAACATTGCAAATCACTCACGCAAATCGTCGATGGAACTCCCGGCCAAGCCGGCGACCCCCTTCTCCCACGTTCGAATTGACGAAAGAAAAAAAAGAAAAAAAAAGGAGATGGAAAAAAACCTAACAAACTTCGGGCAGGTGACGACCTCAAGTCTGCCTGCTAGACTATGTAGGGGCCTAGGTACAGGTATTCCCAAGAACCCTCGCTCGGATCCACGTCTGGTTCTGCATCGGTTCACACGCGACGGTCAGACCTCATGGCCGAACTTTGCCCAACGCTCTCCCATGATGCAGCAATGCAATGACGCACTTGCAAGGCCTTGATTTGCCATTTCCCCTAGGTTAGGTCTGCCAGGTAACTAGGAACGACTGACTACTGCATAGTAAGCTCAGTCAGAGGGGGAACACGGCTCACACGCATCTCGTCGGTAGCTCTCCATCACCCTCTGCCGCGAGCAGTTACACACGGCCAACCATCTATCTGCATGCCGCATAACCGCACTACTGTTTCTTGTCAACTTTCAAATCACGCTAGAGCCTCGTTTCGTCTCATTTCCTTGTTCTACTGCTCGCCAGCCACGAGACCTGCCTCCGGTGCTCATCTCGAGTGACTCGCATTCGTTCGCCGGGTCAAAGCCAACTCTTATACGCCAGCAACGTGTCGGACGTATCGGACGTGTCGAACAATTAACCACACGCGCCATAGACCTGTCGTGGGCTTTGAAGGATGCAGACTGGTCGGTCTCCCGAGTTCTGGCCGGCCACCGCCTGGCGTGTCATACCTACATATGCATCGAGCTCTCCGTCATTACCGCCATCTCCCATTTAAGGTGATGTGTTACAGGTACCGGCCCGTCCTGGGCGCTGACAAGCTTACTATCTCCGCGTCTCCACAGAGCCGGTGTGAATCTGCCGTGTCTGCGATTTGCTTGGCATCGTGTTCAACGGCGGGCGCTGCTGCAGGGACTTCCGCAACCAATACGACTGCTCAGCAGAGATGTAGCTGAACATCTCACGACCATGGCAGAAACACAGTCCGAAGACCGAATTCGAGCAAGCTCGATTGCAACGCCCCAATCGTTTGTTCTCGACTGCAGAGAGCGCAGGCCATGGCACGGTCGCTGGCATGGATACCCACGCTGGGCTCCTGGACGTTCCCATCGGCCAGCCCTGCCATTTTCACCGCTCCAAGAAGCCGCCTGTTTGTGGTTAAAGCTGGCCTGGGGTTCGCCTTGTCCAGGAGCCGATAGAACTGTTTCCCGCCCGTCTTCGTTCCCTGCTCTCTTCCGATTGAGCCTTCTGCAGCATCGCTGTTTCCAAGGCCCGGAGCCATTCACGAAG